CCCATTTAATGATTAAAAAAAAATCTGGAAAGGCCAACTTCTCTTTGTTCACATTGTTTCTGCATAGTTTTTTCCTAAACCGGAGCCAAGTATTACCCATGCCAAAAGATGCAGATTGCATCCTGTAGAAAATTCTGGAAGGAAGAAGGAAGCCATTGTTAACCATCACAGTTCCAAAGAGAAGGATGGCTGCTTTGGAAAAGAGTGAATAACAGGAAATGCCTAGAATTAGCTAAGAACGGAAAATAACCCTATTGCTATATGTACAAAAGAGGCAAAGTCCTTCAAGTACAATTTGCATTGGATATGTGTGAACACTAAAACAAAATATTTTCTGTTACATGTGCAGAGTAAGTTGTCATAAACTGTAGTACTTTGATATGAATGTGTTTTAGGGTTAACCCACATTTTTATCAACACAGCCAATATGTGTCAAATGTCAAAATATTATTTCCAAACAAACTATAGCTTGCCTAGTATAAATTATTACAACTTTAAATTATTGTTTGTAACAAATGGAAGGAGCGTTATGTCTAGGACAAAGAGAATGTGTGAAACCAAGAGCACTCACAAAATGCCAAAAGATGATGTGACATTGTATCTGAACTGATAGATAACTATTCGATATCTCAACTCTCCCCCCCACCCCAAATTTACTATAGGGAACACCAGAACACTGGAAATCCTAGAACTTAAGTATATGTTATTTTAGACTTTAATTGTTCAGAGATTACCTTTCTCCTCCCCGCTGCCCTTCTCGTCATCTTTTTCTTTCTTTAACAGGAATGCGCCCCCTCTTCTTGCAGCATCTTTGATTCATGCTGCAATCAGTGATATGCTACAGACAGATCTAAGTGATTTTAAAAACCAGAATGTGGAAGGTGAAGAAGGCGGAGACAGCGGGACATTCCCCTGTAAGTACATTTCCCTTCCATAGTCTCCTGAGCTAACATTCATTGCCATTTGTTGAGTCTGACTCCATTCATTTAAAATGATGAAATATTATACTTTATTCTTCTTAAGCTGTAGATTTTAAAAGTCTCTCTAACCAATTCATCCATGCTTTGTTTCAGGGTAGTGTGGAATAATTAAAAACAAAATGCCTTGGTAAAGTTACATTATTGGCAAGCAGTAGATGAAAGGGAAAACAAACAATACTTAAAATGCCCGTGTGCACCAAAAATGCTTAGCCTGGCACCTAAAAGGTCACGAGTGTTGTGCCATGAGGTTGTTCGGGCTTCGCAATCAAAACCTCCCTGTCTCTGGGTGACATCAATCCTACTTCAGCTAGAAGCAGCACCAAGAAAAGGGCATCAGGAAACGATGAGTGCAGCTGATGAGGTGGTATAGACACGTCTTCAGGACTTTGGGTCTCAAAACTATTGAAAGCTTTCAAGGCAAGCACCAGCCCTTTCAATGGGAGTTGGAGTTCAGCTGGCAGCGAGCGAAACTTTTTCTCAAACTGCCGGTATGCAGTTGGAAAGGGCTGTCGTAATTAAAATGGACGTAGCTGCAGGCTGCATTAACTGAGCTGTCTTCAGTGACAGCCCCGTGTATAATGCATTAATCTCCAAATGAGAGAGAAAGCAAGCAGAGACACAGGCCGGGGGCTGGTCTTGCAAAGTGCAGAATCAGAAGTGCTTTTTCATCAGTGCTTCTGCATCGCCTGGGAATTTCGTCATGCAGGGTGCGGTACAACCGTGCGACAAAAATCGTTTTTGCAGCCGCTTGTTGCAACAGACCGGAGGGAAGCAGAAGCAAACGGTGATCAGTGATACAGGCACGTTCCTTGGGAGGACCCAATTTCTCAGTTTCGCTTTTCTGCCTGCTAAAATGGAGTTCTGTGTAATACAGGACTGGAGTCAAACCTGGGCGGACAAGGAAAAGCCACCAGTGCTGTTCTGCAGGAGCTCAAGAGCTCATGCCATGCTTTTAAGCAAGTTCTTTTGCACAAGCAGAGCAAATGCTCTGGGTTCGATTTCACTGTTTTCAGACAGTGCTCTGGTAGGAGGTGTGAAAGCCCAGAGCCAGAACAGAGGAAGTTGTGTTCCACCACACCAGGGCATTGATTCATCTAGCTCAGTACTGGCTGACAAAACTGTTTCCAGGGCTTCAGGCAAGAATTTATCCCAGATTTATATGGAGAAGTCACCAATTGACACTTGGGGCCTTTTGTGTGCCCTGCATATGCGCTGCTTCGGAGCTGCACATCTTCTGTGAACAGAAGATGTGTCTATGAGCAGAAGGGCACCTTTGGACCCCATCCAGCGCAGCTTGGGGTTTCTGTGTTAAAGATCCATTGTAAACCGCCGAGCAAATTAAAATGCTGGACAAGTTTGTCTTCATGGTATCTCTCCTGTAGTTGGGTCTAAAATCTTCCCGGTTGGCTTTGATATCAACTTTGTGTGGGGTTTGCAGAATGCTGCTTCCTGTGAGGAAGGATGTGGCTTCAAGCCAGCCATGTCCTTCCTCCTCTTCGCTAGAAGGGGGGTGTGGTCGGCCGATCTTGCAAGGGTGGGTAGGAACGTCTTGCGACTGGGCAAGTCCGCTTGTGCCAGACGGTGTTGCGGCTTTCCCTGCCTCCTCTTTATTTTACACACAGTAATAGTGCTCCTCCTTCCATTGATCTTCGTCTCTGATGCCAGAACCACCAGCTGTTCTGAGAAGCCGAAACAAAGCCTCAGCTAGGCTTTTGGTCCCTCCTTTTCTGTACACCCCCCCCCCCCCCCCCCCCGTTCAGCCTGTTGCCAAGGCATGTCAGTTCTTCCTCGAGAGCAACCATTCAGTCATCCTTTTATTACATGTATCGCCCCCTTGGTCTTTTCCTTCAAGGAGCTCGAGGCAGCACGCGGGATTTCTGTCCTACACACACGTTTTATCTTCACGCTCACCCAGGGAGGTGGGTTTGCCTGGGAGAAACTGACTGGCCCAAAGGCATCCCCTGAGCTGAGAGGGGGCTCTGGGACAGGGTCATCCGCACCACGACACCATGCCGGGTGGGCGTTTTTGCACTGTGAGAATGCTGCCGTGGCACAGTTTTCGCGGCCCTTCTGTGACTTGCCTCCCACCAGAATGCGGAGAAGTTGGCTGGGCTGCTCAGCTGTGGGAGGTGGCGTTGCTTAGCTGAAGCAAGGCTGAGGGGCGAGGCAGCTCTGGATCGCCTTGCCCTGGTGGAAGGACTGGACCCGGACCCTGCAGAAGCAGGTAGCCCCGGGGCAAAGTGGCCTAGGAAGGCTCCCAGGTCATGAGTCACATGGTAAGAAGAAGGACCACGATCATTAGCCCTTGTGGGGTCACAAGGGGGTTCGGCTTTAGGTATAGGAGGGGTGATCTAGGAGCAGCCTCCTCCTCTGGCAGAGGCAGATCACAGTGAGTGTCCCGTTCATTAACCTAACAGCACAAAGCATCACATCTGGATTATGAGCAGTATCCTTTGATGGAGATGCCCAGGCTGTTGGCTGTGGCACTGCTCCCTGCAATCCACATAGCACCTTCCTTGGCTAAAAACTCTGGTTTCCACCTTGTTTTCCATGACTTTCTTCTCTTTGACCTGTTGCTGTCATTCCTCAGACCTTTTATGTCTATCCTAAACTCTTCGATAGTTTTCAGCTTGATTTAAAGTGTCATACAGGCTTTATAAGGGACTTTATAAGGGACTGTAGGTGGCGCAGTGGTTTAAACTGCTGTGCTGGGCTTGATCGAAAGGTCGCCGGTTCGAATCTGCACAGCGGGGTGAGTTCCCGTTGCTCCGTCCCAGCTCCTGCCAACCTTGCAGTTCGAAAGCATGCAAACGCAAGTAGATAGAAAGGTACCACTTTGGTGGGCAGGTAACAGCGTTCCGTGCACTTGGGTGTTTAGTCATGCCAGCCACATGACCACGGGGACCGTCTGCGGACAAGCACTGGCTCCCTCTGCTAGGAAACGGAGATGAGCACCACCCCTGAGAGTCAGGCCTGGCTGGGCTTCACGTCAAGGGGAAACCTTTACCTTTTACCTTTACAGGCTTCATAGTTTTACTGTTATGTGTCTAGAGCCTTTGGTGATGCAGCAGTTGGAGCATTAGACTAGGGTCGTTGTGCTAAAGGTTGAAATATCCACTCATCACGACGTTTGTCAGCTCCTATTTCTCGGACCAGCTTACCTCACAGAGTTCTTGTGAGGATAAATTATGGCATGGAGAACCGGGTATGCTGTTGGGAACGTCTTGGATGATGAGTGTGGAATATAAATGTAATTTAAAATGCCAGGATTTTGCCAAACACTGAATATCCTTTAGCTCTTCTGATGAAACCATCTGTTAGTTTTCCCTTCTGAATCAAGCTGAAGTGGCAAGTTGGCTCCATCTAGCGGGAGTCATTAAAACTGCATGTCCTTTATTAAATATTAAATTTACTCCAATTTTCAGGAGCTCTCCAATGAAAGGATGGAGAAGCCGTTATAAAGATAAAGGAGGGTCATTGTTTCATCTGACAAATAGCACTGCCAGATCCTCAAACAAATGATAATCCAAGAATAAAGGAAAGTTTTCACATCCCTGTCCCATAAGAATGTTTCCAAATAAAAATCTATTTACTAAACAAAGGTGGCTGGATACATGAGGTCAGCCAGCTCTTATGAATGTCAAGTAGTTTGAATGGATTTATGGATTTTGGCATATCGAGGCAAAATTGGGCTTTTCTGGGCACGCTTTCTGACCCTGCCTGTGTACTGACTCCATTGTATATGGGTAGATACTTGTGAACTCCAGGAAAAACCAAGAGCTTATTGTGATAAATAAGCTTTTTATGTGTCGGTAGAGCCAAGATGATTGTGGAGACCTCCACGACCCAGAAACAAATTCCTGGGCTGAGCATGTGGTCAGAGGCACTCTGTTCCCTCTGTTCTCTGTCCCTCAAGCCACTATTTTGCTTCTGGTTTGGTTGGTGGACCTCAGTGTTCCAGTAAAAAACACACACAATACGATCCATAAATGTGTAGCCTGCCTGCCTCTGTTCTAAGAGAAAGAAGCCAGACTTGGGGCAGTTATTGTACAGTTGCAGCTTAATTTCTTCATGATTGGTATGGCCCCATGCAGCAAAAACAACCATAGTCAGTGCCTAGAGAGAAATGTGGAACTTTGCCTTGAACATAAAGATGATTAATACAATACTACACCATCTTAGGTAAGTAAACGGATGAGAAAAAATCTTAAGCAGTAGGAAGAATGGTGTGCAAACAATACACAGGGAGCCATACAATCTGACCTTCTCTCCCTCCCTCTCTCCCTCCCTTTCTCTGTTCTTTTACTGGCAGTGCTGGATGGAGAGCCTTTACAGCGCTGCTTCTTTAACAAACTTTGGGATCGGTGCTGCAAATGGCAGAAGCAGCTACCCCCTCTGAAACCACTGGAACGCTACCTCCAGATTTCCACCCATGCAACTCGTAACACCCGCCGGAAAATGGAGGACAGGCACGTCTCTCTCCCAGAATTTAATCAACTTTTTGGCCTGACGGTAAGTTTCTCGGACACAGATGGGGAGACACAGGTACTCAGAGAATTCCCCATTCCTTTTCAACATAACTTTAGCAGCTGAAAAGCAATGAAAGGAAATCGGCCAGTTGTGATTCTTCCGATCGGCCATGCCACAATTTCTCACTGGCCGGCTGGACATAGTCCAGGCACCTTTGGCAGTGATCCCAGGTCCTAGTCACACAGTGTCCCGCAGGGGTGTGGTGTAACAGCCAAGTTGCAGAGCTGAAAGAAGGAAGCTATTTGGCTACTTGATTTGTAGGAAGGGTGTCTGGGTACTGTATGTACACTGGAGCCAGGCATTTTCTGCAGTAAGTTGAATACAGATCATGGCAGTGCATTACCATTAAGGTATATACAAGTTCTACAAAGAAACTGCTGTAGAATAGGTAGAACCAGGTCTGGCCAAGCGCATTTTCCTACCTGAGGTGGGCCAGCAAATACCACCCTCATGCACATTTCAAGGGGCACAGGAACCAAAGCTGGCCAAGTTACTTCGGCAGAGGCAGAACTTCCTGCAAGCACCTCCCCTTTTCTCCCTGTGGCATTGCAAAATATGACGGCTCCAGACTTAATCACACTTTGACTCAATCAAGTCAGTGGGGGTAAGTCTGAGGTTACTAATAACTGATTAAAAATAAAAAATTTGCTGGCTTTTCTGGACACTAAAAGCCCAAGGCAGCTGTCTCACTTTGCCTAAGGGCAGGCCCAGGCCAGACAATTCTCAAAACTATTTGCTAAGATCTACCAACATTAAGTCAGTAAACAGGAGAGTTGCTTAATCATACGATGGTAACCCAGAGTAAAAGGAATTAAGGGCTGTTGGGTGATGGGTGGGTCTTAGGGCCTTTCTCAAAGCCAGTAGGGTGATTTTGATACAAGCACGGACACATTTTACATGTAAATTTCCTTCTATTTCGGGTATCTTTTCTCATATATTTTCATGTCCTTGCTACTAAAAGGATGGTGTTGACCGAGCGTACTTTGCTGTGTTTGATGGTCATGGTGGAATCGATGCTGCTAACTTTGCAGCTACCCATTTACACGTAAATCTGGCACATCACGAGGAACTTCTGAAAAATCCAGCGGAGGCCTTGAGAGACTCTGTCCAGAAAACAGACGAAATGTTCCTTTCTAAAGCCAGGAGGGAGGTGAGTGAGAAGTAGGCACCGTATACTGGCATATTGTTGACCTACCGGAGGAGGTGCCGCTGTTGCAGGCCGTTGACCTTTCTGTAACATGTAAGGTCTATTCGTTTGCAGAGCATCCCAAATGAATAATGTATTGGTACCTTTAATAGACTAGCTGGAGAATCGTGGTCCATAAATTTGAGGCACTGAACGTTTTAATTAGGCCAGCATCAATCAATATCTTGATTTTCTCAGAGCTATAGCCATGTGTTTTAAACACCAGTAAGTTTATCTAGTTGACTTCTTTTTCTTCTCTTCACCTCCACTGGCCGGCTGCGATGAGCTACAGTGTGCAGGCCAAGAATTAGGAAAAACTGTTTCTGGGGTCAGCCCACTACAACTGATCCCTTCTTTCTTATTTGGGTGGGCTATAAACCTGAGAGACCAGTGGACGATTGTCCCACTGATGGAATACTAAAAGTACATGCTAGGATGGTGAGTAAGGTAAGCAGCGGTGTGATAAGACAGACAAGGAGGTGATGTGAGTGGGTTAGCAATTTCAAAGCAACCTGGGACGATAGGCCGGTTTAAATCAACACCATTTTAATCACCAGAAACACCCCACCCTATTTGCTTACAGAGGAGAACAGTTGTGAAACTAATGGATTGCTATTTGGCACTCTCTACACATATGCAGAATAATCCTTAAGCATAATAATGTCACAAATAGCCAGAGCTTTTCAAAAGCAGGCACAGATAGTTGCTGAACAAAACTTCCCATTATATCCCTGCCTGTGACCTTCACTCCTTTAACACTGCCCCTCTGATGCACAGGAAATCTGTACTCATAAATTACTGCACTCGATTCTCTCTCCATGCTTAGAATTCCCCCTCACATCATCGGTGTGTGTCATTGCTCTCTGGATGCTTCTAGATGAGGTTTCAGTTCCTCGGTCACCCTGCTTCACTCACTGAATTTTATGGAAGGTCCAGCTAACGATTGGCTCCATGTATGACCCTCCCTTGATTTCTTACGGCTTTCTCTAACTTTTTTCTAATCAAAGAAAATCTAATCCAGAGTTAAAAATGGAAAGACTCCAGAATGTCTTTGGATTGGTATCTCTAGCACCCTCTCTCTTTGAATCCTACCAATGCTGTTTATTGAGAGAAAGGACCTTCAGCTGAAATGACCCTTAGAAAAGATATCTCCAATTTATCCCCACATAGTTTCATCCTTTTAAAGAATCTTTAGAACATTCCCCTTTTTTTTCTGATTTCACAGAAGCTGCGCAGTGGCAGCACAGCCGTATCTGCCTTCATTGTCGGGAACAAGTTACATATCGCCTGGCTTGGGGACTCCCAAGTCATGCTGGTGCAGCAAGGGAAAGCTGTAACCCTGATGGAACCTCATAAACCAGAAAGAGAGGTAACTGCATCTCCTTGGAGCTATTCCCCCAAAGCTCTTGGGATCTGGTCCATGTTTTGTATTCCCTGGTATTTCTCTCTCCCCAAACAAGAAAATGATTTATTTGTGTGGAGGATTCTGTAGGTTATGCAGAAGGGTGTTTGTTTCCAAACTGAATGGAAGAGAACGGCTCAGGGCCCAATCCTATGTATGCTTAGACAGAAAAAAATTCTACAATGCCCAGGATTCCCCAGCCAGGAGTATCAGATGGACTATGCTCTGTGTAAGCACAGTAGAATTGCATCTTTAAAGGCCCTTAATGGCCACAGAAAAGCCTGTGAGATTCTGGACTCGCAGAATGTTGAAGACAGCAGAATTATGGAGTGTCATGGACATCAGCTGAAGGAAGGGGAAGATGAAAATGGAGCCTGTTGAAGCTCTTTATAGCACAGATCTTTGGATTGGGAAGTAGCATTCAGGAAAGAGTCAAAGTTCACTTTCTACAAATAGTGTTGCCATTAGAAAGATGACTAGGGAACCACCAACCAATGATCTGGACAGCTATTGAGTTTTTTAAAATTCATTTATTACTGTATTTATATTCCTCATCCCACTTGTTTCTCCTGTTGCAAAGAATCCAGTATACCACATCAGCTCTCTTACTCGATCCAAGTGGAAGTGTTACAAAATGCATTTGGCTGGGTGCGACCAGCTTTCATTGTGGGTTGGGGCTCCCCCACCTGTGGCTGACACGCATACAACAACAGGCACAGAGAAAGAGGAGGAGGACGCACAATTGTTTCATTCACGTGCGGTCCTCAGCCACATGATATCAGCTTACAGGCAGCCGGATCCCACATGGCTGGGAATACATGTGTGGACACAAGGGAGGAGGTGGGTGGGTCTTATGGGATTTTTTTCCCCGCTAAGCTTCATGCACATATGCACGGAGGAGGAGAGAACAAGTTCTGAAGCAACGGCTGTAGTGCTTTTCTCATATCCTTCACATAGCAGAGAAACCAATGCCTCATTGTAGGAGTAAGAAGCACACTGTGAAGCAAAAACGCACCCTTATTTCCCTTGGAAGGAGAAGAGGAGGAATGACAGTGGCTTGCCCTTCCCACTTTCCGGAGACTGCACCTGTTTTTGGCACTCTGCAAAACAAACTCTTAGTTTTTCTTCAATTTCTTTCTTTGCGTAGGATGAGAGGCAGCGCATAGAGGCCCTGGGAGGTTGCGTAACCTTCATGGACTGTTGGCGCGTCAATGGAACCCTGGCTGTTTCCAGAGCTATCGGTAAGCACAATTCTTGGAGCTAGTCAGCCTACAATAGAAAGTTCATTGAACATGCTTCATGCTAATAAAATATTACCAGCACATAAATGGTATGGGAGGATGTTGCATTCTTTCTCCTGCAGTTTGTAGCTTCATATTTCTCATTAAATAGGGAGTTATTTCACAGCACCAAGTCTTAATCATTAGAAACTGCATCATAAAACTGTACACACACACACACACGCACACACACACACACAGAATGCCTCTTTTGGAAGCCTGTAATGAAGGAGACCAGAAACAAAATACAGCCAAATCTTAATTGTACTAAGCAGTTCTCTCTCTGTCTCTCTCTCTCTCTCTAATTGCATCATTTGCTAACCTTGAACTTGGTTGCTGCCATTGCTGCACCTACATTTATAATTGCTCTGCACAGTACATTGCCATAGTAACACATACCTGACAGTGTTGGCTAAAGCATGAAGCTCTTTCCGTTCCTTCCCTGAAGCATCTGTAACGGTATTTTAATATTGTGCTGTGAGAGATGATCCGAGCATATCTGTTGGAATCAGAAGCTGATCAGAATCGGCCTCTTCCCTTTTTCACAGAGAGCCAATATGCAGGATTAAGCGTTCCTTAATCCAGGTGTGCTGTCTGAAAACGCCCCGTCCCATGCCCTTGAAAGTGAGGGTGGCTGTGATGCGAGGCAAGGAGCTTTGTCAGGCAGTGCGAGCCTTGTGGCATTTGGCTAACGCACTTGCTTCTCTAAGGCAACATTCCTCAACCTGTTGCCCTCCAAACATTTTGGATTATAACTCCCACTATCCCTTACCGCTGCTTGTGCGGGCGGACGGGCCGATTGATTGGTTGTAGTTCAAAATGTCTGGAAGGCACCAGAGAGGGGAAAGAAAGCCGCGATAAGGCTTGGGCAGTATTGTTGCTGAATTCCATTGCCTCCCTTTAATTTTAGGATCTGTTTCCACGTTGGGGGAATTGTCTTTATAAGTGGTTGGTATTGTATTTTATGGGAGGGTTTTTCTTTTACCTATTCCAAGGGTGGAAAGGCAAGATAATCCGTTTTTTAAATTTGACATCAATAAATCTGCATGCGTGTGGGCGTATTGATTCCATCAATGAGCTCAGTGGCATGAAGCTATTTCCTTGCCAGTATTCCAGCTATTACTCAAGATTCTGCATTCAGCCCAGCAAGTCATGGAGTTTTCATACTCCCAACTGTTTTGAATAGGAAGAACCTTTAGCTGCATCCCTCACAGCACTGTAATGAAAAGTACTTCAGAAAACTCAAACAGCTGGAACATTGCAGCCAGACGTCTTAGGCCCAGTGCAGGCATCATGCTAAACCATGGCTAAGAAAACTTGGGATGATTTCTGGACTGGCAACCCATGGTTTGCAAGTGCCCAGCAAACCAGGCTGGAGCCCATAGTTGGATATGGGTCTGCAAACCATGGTTCATGGCAATGATGATGGTTTGGTGCTGCTGTGGCCCTGCCTCCAGAAGTTGCTGCACTATGGAGACAGAGAACCTGAGCTTGCAGAGTGTAAGGAGGAGAAGGAACAATGGAGCCAATGCCTGGAAGCTTAAGCAATGGCTCGGATTCTAAACTGTTGTTAGTATCAACCATGGTCCTCTTTGGAGGCAGGGGGACATTCACGGGCGGAAAGGCAAGGTCTGGCACTTACAAAAGGAATGGAGTAGCCGGAAGTTCTTACCATGTGTGAATATTGACCTCATTCGCTCCTGCTTCCTTGTTTTAGGTGACCTGCTGCAGAAGCCTTATATCTCTGGAGATGCAGATAGTGCATCCTTTGAGCTGACAGGTTCTGAAGATTATGTGCTTCTAGCTTGTGATGGATTTTTTGATGCCATCCAGCCTTTTGAGGTGGTGGACCATGTTCTGGAGCACTTAATGAAAAGCAAAGGAGATGGCCTCAAGACCGCAGAGAGGCTGGTGGCTGCGGCAAAAGAGAGTGGATCCACTGACAACATCACTGTCCTTGTGGTGTTTCTCAGGGAGCCCAAAGATGTCATGACCGACTGTCTCAGAGACCCCAAAAGCTGCTGTGCTGAGGATGGTTCAGCCAGTTCACCCTTTAACTTTTTCAGCTCTGACGCGAACAATTGAACTGGTAGCAGTCAAAGGGTGACTGCCAAATCCATTTAAAGCACAACATTCAAATATAAAGCAAGCTTTAAAAACAAAACACCCACCTCCCAACTCTGGAAACCAAGGTTGTTGTGCAGTGGACAAAATGCCAGAACGTAAGTGACCAGCACTTCTAAAACCTAGATTCTTCCATAACACAGGCCTGGGCCTGAGCTGTACAGCTGCAGGTTGAGGGATCACAAGACTAAATGATCTTTACAAAAATGGAATTCCTATATCTATGCAGGGGGGAAACCCTATTATATCTGTGAGAAGGTAGGGTTCTATCTCACCTTTTCTTTGCTTGCCATTTTTCTGTATGGAGGGATACTGTTTTATGGAGAAGCATTCAATTAGTCCAAAGTATTTGCCATACCAGAAAGAACTGGGTCTAAGGGAGCTTTGCAGCATGTAGAAGTAATTTTTAGGCTGCTCATTCACATCCCTGTATCTTAGGAGATGGTGAAAGTTATAAGACCAATACTTGGGACTCTCTGGAATACATTTAAATAACATCTGATTTTTAAACCGCTGCATTTAGATATTATTTAATTAAAATATATGTGAATAAGCTACCACCACCACCAAAGACAAATTAACTGCTGTGGACAGATTCAGTATTAAATGAAATAGTCGAGACTGGAACATGAACCATCTTGTTTTGCCATAAGGGCTGTGGCCCCTTCTCTCCCTTGCAGACCAAGGAAAATATTAGTAAGTAACATCAGTAATGTGTTATTGAAGGTTGAGAGGAAAGGAGGATTTGATACCAAAAGGAAAACGATCTGCCAAAAAAAAAAAAAAAAAAAATCCTCTAACGTACCAAACTAGCTGCATAGAAAACTCCCCTGTGGACTTGCCATTTTAAATTTCATTAGTTTAGCTGAGGCCATGTAAACATGAACGGCTGCAGCCAATTCACCAAACACCATTTTGTGCATGAGCCGCTTCCATTCAACTAACTATGCAAGGGAGCAGCGTTCAGTGGATTTTGGGGTGGGGGGTTTGCCAGGGGTCTGTTCAGTGCTATGTATAAACATGTTGTCATCCAGTCTGGAAAAAAATATTGCCATTATGTACATCTTATGGTAAACCATATGTAGAAGTAAGTATTTTATTATTTTTATATTAACCTGTGGCTGGGAACTTTTAAAATAGTATTATATTATTTTGAGGATTTTATTTAACTTAAGTTTTCAATGTATATAGGGCTTATTTTGCCAGTATATTGAAATTGGCTACTTTCAAGTGTCATATGCCTCCTGGCCAAGATAAAAAGGAGCGTATTTTAATAACATACTGTATGGACCTTTTGTCTTAATTTTATATGCTTTTTAATAGGTGATTTATTTCATTCATTTAAAGCCATCATGAAGCACTTAACAAGTTTTTCTTTCTGTATGCAGAAACAGGGGTGGTTCAGAAACCTTTCCATTGTAAAAACACGTTTGGGAAACATACTATTTACAATCTTTCACGAGGAGGTGTGTCTTTGATCTATGTAATATGAGCAGCTTACGTTTAGGCAGATACCACCCGCTAGCACAGTTTTCCCGGTTCAACCCACCCATGATGCTGCCAACTCGTGCGCTTCCTTTGAGCTTGGCTCCGCTCATTGCCCAGTTCCTGAATTTCTTTCTCTCCAAAGTGAGCCCCAATATCCCATCTGGAAGAAAAGCATCAGTGTGGGGGGAATAATGTTCAGGAGGGAAAGTTCCATCACCCCTTCTCTGTACACCCCTTTTGCTTTCAAAATAGGATCCTCCACCAGCAGCTGTCTCCTCACCTCACCGAGACTGACCTAGGCCATAAACCAGCAGGTCTGCCCGTATCATATGTGATTTACACCTGAGTTCTGAAAGTTGGCCCGCATCTTAGTAATTTTAGTTTCATCTGTAAATTTAGACAATTGCTTGGTGGGTGGTAAAACTGGTTGGACCATGCTTGATCCTAGTTTGTTCCAGTGTGTGCTATGATTTTTGAATAAATTGTATGAACTGCTGTTCTGAAAAGCAGAAAGGATGGCATGTGTTGGAAGGAGAAGTGTCTCAAACTGAGGGGTTAGTTTTTCCGAGAGTTAAGAGTGCCAATTTATCATAAAAATAGCAAGTTAGCTTTTAAGACTTTTTGAAGAGAGGAAGAATAGCTACTTGTTCTGGAAGTCTTTGTATCCAAAGACACTATCGTGTCTCAGATTGCATCCTAAGCAGACAGTAACCTCTTCATAAACGTGGTAAATAATTCAGCATAAATTAATAATGTGTACAGCAGTTCCAGATGGCAGTACCGTCTATTTGTACTCTTCCCATGTTTTCCTACTGCATCTTTTGTCTTTCTCCTTACCAGAAAAAAGGCTGTTTTGGAGGCAGAAATGAAATAGATGCACATCGGCTTTTGACTTGCGGCACTAGGGGCTTCCAGCCTGTTTCTGCTGGGATATCGTTGCACATGTTCCATTGCAGGGAGATAGATTGTTACTGGGTATGAATGCCCGGTGTAGTATCGCTGTCAGCTTGGGATTATTTTTGGTTGAGAATGTGTAGCTTTTCAAGAAGCAGCTGGATTGACCTCTACACCAAAACGAAAAGCAGAGCCATCTAAGTCTGTTTTTTGTAGAGAAGTGGCACATTGGAAGATAGTTCAGAGGGGCTGCCAGAGAATGTAAGGTGTGCCTTAAAGCCTTTTACAGTCCTTACATCTGTAAATACTGTGGCATTTGTGAGCCGTCCCGAGGCTTCGGCGAATGGGGCGGCATAGAAGTTCCCCAAATAAACAAATAAATTTACAAAACAGAAAATGCAGGGAAACAAGCCAAACCAAAAAGTACCATTTCTGTACAGACAGGTAATGCCACGCATAAACCTGCTACTGCAAGTTAGCTTCCCAACTCTGCTAATGGCTTGATACTGCGGGTTTGTTCTGCTAGGATGACTATTTGGTGGCTGGATTGTGTTTTTCACAGCAGTGACATGAATAGTTGCCACTTAGTGGAATTCAGGGGCGGGGTTAGACCTTTTCTTCTCCTCTGTGTTCCCAAAGCAATTAGAATCTTTCCTGTTCAAGCCCTACAACCTGCAGAAAGCAGGCAGCAACCCTGTTTGAATTGGGCTTTCTCTTTGTATCCCTGGCAATTAGTTCATCAGAGCATGCCGTTTGCTTAGCAAGTTGGCCAAAGGGACGGTATTTCTGCAGGGAAGGCATTGCTGTATGTTCGCTGAGACCTGAGTGGGTGGCAGGGGCTGGCTCGCTCTGTCATCGTGCCAATTCACGTCCAGCTCTTTGAGGATGGCTCCTACTCTGACAGGGTAATTACATTTGAATATGATTAATTTAACAGAGAATCTGAGGCTCCTTAGTTCAACTTTATCACAGCGACACAGGCTTGTGGCATGCCGATCCCCTCTACGGAACCACGGTGCCTGTGAAGCGCAAGGAACTGCAGTGCTTGCCCTCTACAATCTTGAAGGATGCAGCCAGGCTTAAAGGCTTGGCTTCTTTGGGCGGCTGCCAACAAGCATGGTCCAACCAGGGCAGGGGGGGGGGGGCATCCCTGAAGTCCCTCGGCCCTTCTTGTCCCTCCTTATTCCCGCCCACCTGCCAGTTCTCCCCCTCTTGGAGGCAGGTCATGGGCAAATGGCAGCAGGAACGAGAAGGGAAAGTCATCTCTGCCCCCTTCTGCTCATTTCCCTCCCCATCCTTCTAGAAGGCAGTGAGGCAGCTGGGATTCGATCTGTGTGTGGGAGGGGAGCATACCCCTCATTGTGATAGCCAGATGGGGCAAGGAGTATTTCACAGGATATGCGGTGCCTGCCTGTGTCCACGTGGCACCTTCCCATGTGGTCCTTCCAGTATCCCTTTCTTCTGTAGAATCAAATGATTGCTATTCTTTCCTGTGAACAGCAGCAAAGCATCATGCTTGTGTGACTGCTGGAGTGATGCACCAGCATCCCAAGTATCTGGATCAGGTCAGCATTCCAGGTTTTGTCTCCGCCCCAGCACTCTTGCCACTTTGAGCCCATTTGCTGCCTTAAACTAAACAACAGCTTATCGGCTGGGGTGCAGTCGCGGAGGAAGCAAAAGTTGTTTCGGACATTAGTATTTCTGGCAGTGCATCAAGACTCCATTTTCTCTGGACTGTGAAAGCTAATAAATTTGTTAGCTGTTAAGGTGCCACAAGCTTGTTTTTGCTGCACAAGATTAATATGAACATCCCTCTGGAGTTACGCTGATCCAGGGATCTTCAGTTGTCTGCTGATAGACTTGTTTGGAAACATCCATTGTCATTTTCTCAAAGAAATACTTGATGATCCCATTAAGTGCCCAGTTTTACAAACAGTTCTTTAAAAGGCAGCGTTCATCACTTGTTCTGCATGTATGCCTGAAGAAGAGGATAACTTAAAACATATTTGTCTTAATTAAGGCAATTAATTGTGTTGTATTTTCAAATGGGGATTTCCTGGTACCATACCTTTTGTGCCTTTCTGTAAAGGTGCAGCTTTCTCAATGTATGGCTCCCATTACACTGTTTTTAAGAACTACTGACTCATGTTTTGTCAAACAGCTTAGAGAATTCTAAGAAGTTTGCAGGATGTAGCATTACTGATTAAACTGAAGCTGACCCGCTCAGCATGTTGGCACTGTCTGAATCTTAGTTGCTCTTATGTACCGTCAAGTTGTCTTTGACCTATGGCGACCCCATGATTGAAAGCCCTCCAGAAAGTCCAGTCCATGACAGCCCTGAGTCCAAGGCCGTGGCTGGCTTCCTTTATGGGTTCATTCCATCTCATATCTGGTTGAATCGAGTACAAGAAAACATTTGAAAACAGAGTTTTCTGCTTCTTTTGCAGCTGTTACCTATTCGATTTGCCTATTACACGTTTTTAATGGTGACGCTTTTCCATTTTTAATTCTTGTTCAGTCATGCCTGGAATTGGCTGGCTAGGAAAAAGTTGGGGAATCCTTTTTATGTGGTTTTCAAGAACAGAATTGTTTGTTAAATTGCTCCATGTATTAAGACATGCAGCTCTGAGTGAAGGCTTGGCATAAATGACCTAATGAATCCTTCCAAAGCGTATGCTCCTGTGAAGTTGCAAAGGCGCTTGCATGACTTATAGGAGCCTTGCGCACTGAGGATGACCCGTGGCTCAGTGGTAAAGCCCCTGTATCATACACAGAAGGTCTTACATTCGGTCTGTGGCACTTCCACTTTGGACCCATTTCATCAATAGCAATGCAAGAGGCAGGCATAAGAATAGTTCCATATATCCAGGGTCTCATCTAGTGGTCCAGTATTATTTCTTAATAGGAGAACCATCTAATGCTTCTGTTTTGCTCTAATCCATTGTGTCAAACATGCATTATCTTAAACACTGGAAGTTTTATTTGGGGATGTATATTTATACTACTACAAACAATGCATCTAGTGGAACTGCTACTATTTAATATTAGGTGTTAATATCAGGAATTCATCTTTTCACTTTTCTCTGTTTCTTCGCCAGTTGCCTAACAGAAAAGATGGCATGTTACCCACGCACAAGAACTGCCCTCAGACTGTATTACTGATCTCTGCTGGGGTATCAGTTAGACTAGGGGTACACAACCTTTTGTGCCCCAAGGTCTGCAGCCAGCATTTCTTCCTTTCTCAAAACACCCTTTCTCTGCTAAACCTTTGGAATAGGCCCTTCATCCACTTAGTAGCTGAAAGATGTGAAAGTGAAATAAAGGCATTTTCTTTCTTTCCATCTTCCACCCTTTCTTCACAGTTTTAGTCTGTGAGCTCCCCAGGGCTAGAGGCCTGTTCCCTTCAAGTCTTAAATCAGCATGAACATGGATGACAATATAGTGATAAGAATGTTTGGCAAGTTTGTGCTCTTAAAACGTCCTACTTTAGAACACCGCGGATAGGATAGCAGGTTACAGAATCTTAAGGATAGCCAAGTGTACCAGTAATCTGCACTCATCTTTGTGCCATCAAATTCTGCAGCTCATATTCAGTAACAAGCACTTGCATTGCTTAAATTGCAACATGCAGGCCGGTAGGTGAGGGACAAGACACAGGGGGGAGATAAGGAATAAATCCAGGCACAGAAGGAATAGAGCGGAACCTGTGGAAGCATTAAGCAAGAACAGCCCCTTTGGGGTGCAAGTGTCTTTCATGGTCTGTTTTAAGATTAGGAACTTTTTGGGAAAAAGAGCATATTCTCAGGAAAGGATTCTTCATTTTGCAGCGTGTGGATTGTAGAAAATGCAAGGAACCTTGCCTGTGGGTAGTCAGTAGGTCATCCATGCTTCAGCGTAACTGAAGACGATCAAATAGCCATGGTTACTAATGCGACCATCTTTCCAGCAAACAATTTCTCCAGCATTTGGCATATTATATAACTACCGAAGTACAGGCAGTAATGTTCTACTTCTGTAACCACATCTTTTTCTTTTTTTACAAGTTGTCAGTATTAATGATGTTGCAAGGACTTAACTGTTGCTTTATCGTGGCATCATTCCTTCATTCTAGCTTATTGCCTAATCAACCTTACAAGAAACCCCACAGGCAATTATGTTTAGAAGGAAACTCTTATCTGTGTCATTTTAAATATTATCCTATTTATTTTGAAAGTCAGTCTCCACATAAAAAGACTGAAATAGGGAGGGCTTTCATAAGCTATTACTCCGGCCATTTAGCCAGTATTTTTTTTTTTTTTTGAGGGGGGGTGCGTGTGTGCGCACATGCCAATTTATGCTATACATGTGAACTGTAACCTTATTGTTAATCATGATTACATACTTATGCAGATTGTACCTTCCTTGTGTACATGGGGTTTTTTCTAATGGTGGTTGTGTACATTATGCAATATCTCATATTTATATTGCACGAGGTTGATTGGATTTTGTGTGTTGAGATTATTTTTTCCAGTATTTGCGCAGTGTGCCTCATGTACCTGTTTGCATACTGTAAGGAAGGCTGTGTGGAGAAACCACTAACTTATAGGATGTGATGTTTTGGAGTGTTAATAAAATACTAAAGGATTCATTTTCAGTTTTCTGTGCTTTGTTTATAAATGGCTGAAACAAGAGGACTAATTTTAAAGACAACAACTGGAGTTCCAAAGTCATGGGCACCAGATGTATGTTCACTTAGCTTTCTTCCCCCTCCAGTTGTCAGTTCAAGCAGCCCTTCCTCCTTGCCAGCTGTCAAAACACTATTTTAAAAAGGGGGGGGGGTTTAGCTTGCACACAGCTGGATTTCCCCGTTAGCTGAATTGCAGCTACATGTTTTCTAGCTGCCACAATAGGATTTTTCTTGCTGCTGCTGCTGCTGCTGTTGTTGAAGAGAAAAGGGTGGAAGAAAACAAAGTAGCACACTCTAGTTCGATGGTAATTCTGAAAACGATGGAACAGCACTGTCTCACACTTTGCGACTCGGCGTACCTGTATGCAGGTGGCATCGAAGGTGTGTGTTTCTAACCATGCTTAGAACAAGACACGCAAGAAGCAATTCTCTGAATGAAGGGACCTGGTTATCTTGGGGTAGGGGGCCCACAGAATTCCATTCTTGTCCATTCCTCCTTCCTGGAAACAGATGTGACCAAAGGCAGTATTGGCCCAGCTCTTCTTTGGCAGCCTCCATCAACATCTGTTCCACCTGGCAGTATCAGTGGGAAAGGTGAGGCAGTGAGCGCCTCTCCAGCATCTTCGTGCTTGCCTGCAGTGTCACATTTGACCTCGTGAAGTTGTTTGGGTTTCATCTTTCTTAAAACATAGCCAAGGGAGCTGTCCAATGTTTATACATGATTTTATAAAACAAAAGGATACAATCTAGAAGCAAAAGCCTCAAAACAAAAGCCTCCCCATTTCCTCCTTTGTTTCTTATCTCCTAGATAGGGCAGACCCTGTGAAACTTCTGCAAGCCTTCCAGTAGATCCAGCCTCCCTTCTGCCTGCCCTCCCTGCCTCCTTAGGCATGACTACACTCATGAAGTATTCTCCGTCCCTCAGTTATGAAACATCTTCCCTCTGTGGATTAATCCAAGTCTAAATCAGAACCTTTCAGTATTCTCTTAGGCCTTTGGGATTCATGGTTAAGATTGGAAATGTTAATGAATTCAGTGCAATGTTTTCTTGGAGGCAGGGCTGCCTCTGTTGCCCAGGGCCTTCCAGATGAGGTGGTCTTTAATGTAAATAAACAACAGGAAGATCTGAGCTGCGATCCTGCATACAGTTAGCTGTGCTTAAATCTAGTTAAGTTTTCTCGGCTTACAAGAGCTTAACAATATACAGGGCTGCAACTTTAACCATCTGGTCCTCCCCCTCATGAAAGCCGCTTGGATTATGTAATAAGATGAGAAATATTTTTGTACCAAGTAACATTATCATCTGTGGTCTCCCCCGGCCCCCATCCTTCTCTTGTTCCTGACCACATTTTAAAAAAAGAAAACACGGACAAGAAAAACAATGCTGTCCTACAGTATTGCATTGGAACCTCTTGTCGCAAACAGGTGTCTGGGATGGATGGATGGATGGATGGATGGATACTTGTTGATACATCATTTGTTTGAACCTTGGACTGCACAACTCACATTGAACACCACTGTGTGACAGATAGACACCTGTACTCCCAACCCTTGTGAGGTAGGACAGGCTGTTTGTTGTCCATGTAGGGCATTCACTGCTATATTGAACTTAAAGAAAAGCAAGAAAGTTTTAAAAGTTCAACAGGTAGCATAGCATGCTTTCCCAGAGTCCGAAAGCCAGGAAGCTTTTTGGAGCTATGCTAATACCTCAGGGCCTTCAGCTTGTTAGGAGTACCAGAGATAATTGCCTTGAAGCTGCCTTCCCCCATTATATTTCTTAGATAAAAGCTGCTTTTCCTAAGAGAATTGAAACTGTTTGCCTTATTGAAGCAGCTCTGCCCCTCCCCTGCCTTCCAGAGTGTACTGGCAGTTTCTGAAACAGAAGGAGCGAAGAAATGTACAAAAAGCTATGGCAAAAAATGCTTTTGTTCTCAGCTTTGGGAGAGGAATTGATGAATTGCTCACACAGGCAACTTTCAAAGCCCATGAAGCATCCCATAGGCTATCTATGTGTGGCAAATATGATCACACATAAGGGAGTCTAAGCTTTCATTTGCCTGTTTATATTCTGTATCCACGTTTCAGCATTTTATTAAATAAACATAAGATCATCCTTTACACAAGTGGTTTGGTTTTATCCAGGGTATCTTCAAATACGAAGTGAGATGCCTTGGCTAGAAGTGGCCCTTAGGAATTAAAACATTTGTTGCCACACACAATTAAGTCTAAGTTTAAACACATAGAAACTTTAGACTTTTACACTTTTGGAGAATTTCCAGAGTTTTCTTTTATCTTTCTGCAAACCATGTTAACGTGTATGCCAAGCAGCCCAGTGCAGGAGTAACCAGAGGTAAGTTCAGAAATGATGGGTTGCTTTTAAAATAAAATGAAACAAAGGAAGATTGCGCAAACGAAACCATTTTTGTGTGGAGAAAGGCAGTCCCAGGAAAAAGTGTGAATTTAAGTTGAACACACAATTGCCTGATTAACTTGCTCCAGTACCCTCCAGATAATTCATGCACCTAAGGCTGAGACAGGGAGAGAACTAGAGAAGAGGTAAGCTCAGAGCAATTCAAAGTCCTTACTGCTGGCTTTTGTTCCATCAGGGAATGAGGAAAGGCTGTGTCCATCACAGAAGTGCAACCCTCCCATTCAGGGATGCCGGAAGGAGGGAAAAGATATAAGTGCCCTCACTGATTTTTGCCAGAGAAGCTAAGCAGCCAGATCATCAGACCGAAAAGACTAATTACAGGCAAAGCTGATTAACAGCAAAGATTGTTGTCTCTAATGCCAGTGCAGCAGTGTATGCACTCTGGCTTTTAGTCCGAACTTTTAAAATCTACCCCCTGAATAGGTTCAGCACCATCCAGCTCGCCTTTACCCTTCAGACTGACCAGACGCACTGAGATGGACTGGTTCTAGCAGTTTTCATCTCCTGCAGCGGATCTTCTGTAAAGCCAATGTGTCTTAATGACCCATTGAACACCAGACTTGGCCAAACCACTTTGAATTGTTTCTGGGAAAACCAGTCCCTCCCAGCCACTGTACTACTGCAGCTAAACTCAGAGGGATCAGGGAGGTTGCCGGGAGAGGTATGTTTGTGTCCCTGCCAGGCCTGGGCACACGACACTGCTGGGAAGAAGCTGAGCTAATGTGTAGAAAAATTAGGATGGAGACAGAGTTATCATTGAGCTTGAAGCAACCAAGCACTGAACAGTGAGCTATTAGTTCAACTCTTCTAATTTTACTTTTTAATGGTGAACTGCCTTGGTTTTCCACCCACCTTCTCTTAAGAAACACCTCTGGAGCTTTGCTTTCACTGTATAAATCTTACCTGTCACAGGGACAGCTATAGGATCAACAGCCAGCAAATCTTGGTGGTTTTTAGAAGCTGTGTTTGCATTTTTTGCATGTGTAATCTGAATGAAAAACTGCACTGGGGAGAAAATGCATTCCAGTTTGAAATGGCTCTTTTACACTACTGATGACTGCTGGCTGGAGCTAATGGAATTCCCATGGCTCAAATAATTATCAGATGTATTCTTGACAACAGACAATCGATGCTGCTAGTTTGCTCTGAACATTTTCACTGGAAACATCTAGATGGACAGTTTTCTAAAAATACAGGACTACTTTGAGTTTCCAAATAGGGGATGGATGGACTCCAACAATGGATGCCACAACCCTGGAGTTTACAAGAGCTAAGCAGGGTTGTGAAGGACTGGGTGTTCCGAGGGGAATTCATTCACAGAGTTGCCATAACTTGGAGAGAACAGCACAAAACAAACTTGCAAATTTTGTCATATCCTGTAAAATAGGTCTTTGTATCCCATGCACAAGAGATACATTCCTCTTCAGAAGGAAAGTTTGACATTTTTGTTACAATTCTTTTACAAGCATAGATGCAAACTATGATTTAAACTGCTTTTGGAAGGCTCTCAAAAAGCATGAAGATTGCCGGATTTGCGTTTTTTAAAAATACAGCTCGTGTGACAAGATCGTGATTTAGAAAATGGATGGGTACGGATAGGAAGGTTTCTCTTTTATAAGCAAGATCTTGAGGCATCAAGATTCCAAATAAATCTATTTGTGAGTTTCCCCCACTTGGGGACAAAACCCAAGTCCAAACAGCAGCACCACCTGGAAGTACAAATGAAAACTTCAGCTGCCTCTGTTATTTTTATGCAACCCCAACTTTCACTTAAAACAAAACAGTGAGTAAATGCACCCACTTTCTGTCAGCCTTCTTTCGCCCTCCTCTCCACACTCCAACCTGCCCTGTGTAACAGCTTGGAGAGACCTGGCACGCCTGCGTTACTGTGCTGCTGATGGTTTATGTTGCAATTTAGGCGGCTCTTTCTCCAATCGCATCAACCTTTAAGTTCCCAAGGATGCGCAGACGTTGTTGAGACTTTTTGTGGTGGAAAGCTTGGCATAAATTAAATCCCTTTTAACCTCGATGCGGACATTTTCCTTACGGATAGTACGATTCCCTTAGCTCTGTGGGCACAATGTGATTTACCTTCTCCGGCGCATGACCCTATATCTGGGACGACCGCTGCTACGAGGTGGGGGCCGCACCTGGAAAGCAGGACACGCCCGTACCTGGGCCTTCTTCAAAGGGCGCGGGGGCGGCCACGTGGCTCACAGCCCCCCCCCCCGCCTTTCCCCGTCCGCGCAGCGGCTCCGCAGATCGCGCCGTCCCCGCGGAAGCCCCGCCCGCGCGCCAGGCCACCTGCCGCGCCTTCCCGCGGAGCGAGCCCGGCTCCGCCCTCCCGGCCCCGCCCCGGCAGGGCGCCGCCCAATCCCGGCCGGCCCGCGAAGGCCCCGCCCCGCCCGCGCTCTCTCGAGCCACCTTCCAGCGCCAAGGTAGGGGGCGGGCCCGCCTCCCCGCCCCGCCCCATCCCGCCTAACGGCGCGGGCGCGCGCGCGGGAGCGAGCGAGCGAGCGGGCGGGCGGCGCGGCCCCTTTCTCCTCGGCCGGCGGGTGGCGGTGGGAGCGGGGACGGCCGCTCGTCTGGCTGCTCGCCGCCGCCGCCGCCGCCGCCGCCGCGCTTTCCCTGCCTGCCGGCCTGCGTGCCGCGTTGCCCTGCGGGGGGCGCTCCTCCCCGCCGCGCCGCCCGCCCGCCCGCTCGCTCGCTCGCTCGCTCGCTCCCTCCCCGCCGTGCCTGCCTCCCTCCCGGCTGCAACATGGCGGCGGCGCCGGGGGCAGCGGCGGGCGGCGGCGCCGGCTCGTTCGGCGGCGCCGAGATGGTGCGCGGGCAGCTCTTCGACGTGGGGCCGCGCTACGTCAACCTCTCCTACATCGGGGAGGGGGCCTACGGCATGGTCTGGTAAGCGGCGCGGCGCGGCGCGGCGGGTCTCGCCCCTCGGCTGCGGGGCTGGGGCTGGGGCTGGAGCCGGCTCTCCCGCGCGGGGCCGCCGGGCTGGGTGGCGCGGGCGGCTGTCCGCGGCTGCGGTCCTGATGCTCCGCGCGCCTCCGGGGCGGGGGGGCGCGCATCTCTGCGCGGGCCGGGCGGACCCGGGCGGCGGGCTCCGGCACCCCTGCCTGCCCTGCCCGGGGGCTGCCCGGGGGCAGCGGCTTGGCCCCCGCGTGAACCCGACGCCTGGCCCCTGATGCACGGCCCGGAGCGCCGGCTGCCCGCTCCGCCGGGGGCGTCCGCGTCCTTGGAGGAGCCCGTGCAGGCGCACCTGCCTTGCGCGGCTTGCGCGGCGCTTCCCTTGGCGACGGCCCCCCGGAGCCGCTCGCAGCAGCCTTGCTGGGGGAGGCGGGGGCCCCGCGCGGCGCTTGCGGCTGCCGCGGCGGCAGAGCCTTTCCTTGCAACGCGCCGAGGACCGGAGGAGACGGTGCGCGTCCGGCGTGCGGTGACTCTGACGCCAGCCTGCGGGTGCTGGACGGGGTTTTGCTGCTGTTGCATGCAGCCAGGTCACCTCTGACTTGTGGGGACGCGATGCGATGCGCTGCAACAGTGGGGTTCGCTTCCCAGGTAAACGCACGTGTAGGATCGCGGATATGTGCTTTAAAGCAGTGTGGCTTTGCTGTTCTCGACTGTCAGTGAGGCACTCCGGGGACTCGCTGCCCGATTCAAAACAACCGGGAAACATGCTCCTTGGTTCGTTTTAGTGGTACCATTTTGCTTCTGTCTTCCTTTCCTTTTCCCCATTTTCCCGGTGGCTTGTACTGTTAGCAAAGATGTCCTGTTAACGGACCATCCACAGTGTTCGAAATCCCCATCTAAATTAATGTGGCAGCGGGTTAACTGCATTGGTATTTTGCATTCTAATGGTGGTGAACTGTTTTCTGAGATGTCTCACGCCATAGGTAAGTGCATTTACCTATTTGCAGCCTGGTGGCATGCATGCTTGCTTTGAAGTAAATTCCAGTGAGGTTGATGGGATTTTACTCCAGTGAGGTGTAGAACCTTAATATGCAGCCTTCTCGATCACAGGCTAGTAAAAGAGCTGTGCAATTCTGTCTTCTGTTTACAAAGAAGTAAGCACCATTGCCTTCAGAGGGACTTAGTCACAGGTGGGTCCGTATAGGCCTGTTGCCTAATTACATTTTTCTTATCTTCATTTCCCCACCAGACTATTTAATCGATGCTTTCTGAGTGTAGCAGAAGTTCTTCTTGAAATTTATTAATATTTCAAAAATTAACCACACACCTATTGATCCAAAAGTACTCTTAACAGAAATAAAGATGTTAAGTCAGAAGTTCAATAACTGTGTTGCTCATGGTCTACATGGAACGGCGTCTCTTGTTCATCGGTTATATTCATCTTGTTTAGTGTGTCTGGTACAGCAGTTCTGGAGTTGGGATTTGCAGCCTTTCAACCTGGCTGTGTGAATGGGAGTAAATTCCATTGGATCCCATAGGTTTCCATCCCAAGTAACTGTGAATAACCTTAGTATGCATCATAACAGTGCTGTAACATGCAGTGCAGGTGGTTCACAGAGTCACTGTTCTGTTGCTACTCCTTGTTATTGTCTGTTTTTATTATCTGCTTTTTAGCTGTTTTAAACTTTTTATTTTTTCCCCTGATTTTATGAGGTTTTATTGTGCTTTTATTAGCTGTTTTATGGACTGCTTTAAACTGCCCATAGGGTTTTGGTTGTGGGGTGGTATAGAAATGAAATGAATTAAAAATGCATTCTTATTTGCAGAAAAGGGCCAAGGGTAAAAGCAAGCAGTGTGAGGTTGGGAATTATCTGCTCCTCGTTTTCTGTGCTTTGCTCGCCAGGCACCCAGTTTTTCTGTTCACTATCTGATGGTGCCTCTTCCCATTTCCTTTGCGGCTTTTTGCCACTGACCTATTGCAAGAAGTAAGAAAGCAATGTGCAGTTCAAAGATTCTCAGTTGGGCTTAATTAAAATTAATAATGGTGCATTGCTGCTAACTCTGTGCTGTCATTCATACTGCACTAGAAGCAAGGGAAGGATTAGCAAGGAAATGGTAGATCAAATAATCAGGTATCTTATACCTAGTTAGCAGTATGTTATAGGATACCTGCTTTCTGAAGAAAATGCTTTTTGCAAGTCTAGTAGTGGGTAGCTTAGTACATCCGTGTGTGTGTGTGTGTGTGTGTGTGTGTGTAGTAACAGGGTATTTGGCTCAGCCTTGGAGCCAACTGGGTGGCTTAGGGCCGGTCATAGACTCTCAGCCCAACCTACCTTACAGGGTTGTTGTGGGGATAGATTGAGAGCCGCAGGAGGAGAATGGTGGAAGCTGCTTTGAGTTCTTTAGAAGAAGAAAAAGCAGGCTATAAATGAAATAAATGAGGTATTATGGCAGAAAAAATATAAAATAATGGCATCTAAGCTATCTTGCCGCTTGACTAACACTTGCTTTCTGTCCTCGACATTTTCATTCTTGCTGTGTCAAAGTGTTGCAAGATGTGCAATAGATGTGGTCCAGAAAAATAGAAGACAGTGTGTTCAAATATCCATATGTTGTGATGGAGGGCCTAAGGCGGGCATGGAATAAGGAAGGATCAGAAATAGTGGTGCTGGACAGACAAAAGCTCATTGTCCCATCACACCCCCCCCCCCGCTGCAAAAAAAGGAAAAAAATCAGAACCAAGTGCCAGTGCTTTTGGACGTGTAACCTGCACGGGTGAACTGCTGCTGAAATGAGCAGGATGCCGCGGAGTTCAGTGCAAGGGAAACGTGGTTTGTGTACAGTCACTTGCACTTTGCAGAGACTTGGCTGGTCCAGTACTGTAATCTGCAGGAGCATTTCTCTAGCTCCCTTAGGACCAGGCAGCCAGGGCTCTGCAGTTGGTAGCCAGCCAGAACCAGGCATGCATTCGGTGGCTGCATTTGTACGCAAGAACACATGTATGCCAAGTGCGGGCCATGCTTCTGCATATAGCTGGCACTGTTGTACAGATGAATTCCACAAATCGGTGTGCGTCTGTTTTGGTATCATAGATATTGTGCAGACAGCCTAGTCCAGAGTCAGTCTTTCCTCCCAGCCAAATCTCCCCAAGCTGCTTTTCAGACAATATTCAGTTTGGTTACTAGTTTTTGGATCCTTCTTTGCCCAAAGTTTGAAAGAGAGCTCAATCAGTAAACTGAATTTATATGTGTCTTAACCCCAAAACATGCTTTGGACTACTAAGTATATTTCTCCATGTTTGGGAACTTCCTTTTTCAATTATTACTTTCAATCGAAATATGTTAAATATGTGTTTTAAATGTTAAATGTTAAATATGTGTTTTAAAAAACCCAAACCAGATGACAATTACAGAGAAGGAATATGACCCCCACAGTAACCTGTAGGCCAGTCCAAATCACACATCAGCTTTTCTAGGATACAGAATTTTATCTGTTTCTTCTAAGTTTTGGAAGTGAAATTGTATGAAAATCAAATGGGTTATCTTGGTAAACATTGTGTATGTCCCTTATTGCTGCGAAATTTGTTTGAAAAAGTCAAAGATAGGTGTAAGCCCCACAGTAGCTGAATCTAGAATGGACATTTAATCCACTCTCTGCACATGTCTTAGTGCAATGGGATTGGATTTAAACTGGAAATGTCACACAGAGTCATGTAAAGGCATCGTAAGCACCTTTGAGAACGAGTGTGATATGGTGATTGGAGTGCTGAACTGGAGATCTGGCGATCCAGATCCGAGCCCCCACGAAGCCACGGGGCTCACTGGGGGCCTTTGGGCCAGTCCTGGACCCTCCACTGTTGTGAGGACAAAATGGAGTAGAGGTGGGCTACGCAAGCCACCTTGGGATCCCGCGAGAGGAAAAAGGGTGCGATATAAATTCCCACTTTCTGTGAATAAAGTTTCTACTCATGGATGGTCCTTTTTTGCCAAATTAGTATCTCACTCCATAGATGATTTCAGTTCCCATTGATCAATGTAACTTCAGCAACATTTTCAGGGGAGTGGGGAAGGGCCTCATTTTGCATGTATAACTATGGATTCAACTCTGCTTTGTATGACATTTCTCTCACTGTTTAAAGTTTTGTTTATTTATATTGCTGTTAATGAAGAGAGGAACTGGGTATAGGTAAATACCTAAGAGGATTTATGATGTTGTGAAACTCTTGTAACATCAGTACAAAGGGAAGTCTCTCTGTACTGAAACCTGACCAATAGTTTGTCAAATAATAAACTGATTGCCATGGGAATGTTAAAAAGCAGCTTCATCTCTCAATTTCTGGATCTTTTTCAGTGAATAATAGGCTTTTAAGTTCTGCTTTAACATTGACAATTCTCATTCCAGTTCTGCCTATGACAATGTCAAGAAAGTTCGGGTAGCTATAAAGAAAATCAGCCCATTTGAACACCAGACGTATTGCCAGAGAACTCTGAGAGAGATCAAAATCCTATTGCGTTTCAGGCATGAAAATATTATTGGGATTGATAACATTATCAGAGCTCCAACAATTGAACAAATGAAAGATGTGTATCCTTTAAAGATACATACCCCTGTGTTCTTTGCTTCCGTTTCTGCTGTTTGTTGAACTATTGATTATTTTTTATCTTGGCATTATTCTAAGCACTATATTCAAAACTTGACTTCCTTTGGTGTGAGTGAGGCTGGCTGTTATTAGCCCAAATCACTCCCATATTTAACATGGGAAAACATGCCAGTGTTTTAATTTTTTTTAAAGCAGCCCTAAGAATTTTTCCAGGGGTTTGACTGCTTAGCCAACAATAACAGGGTATTCAGTCATACCATGTCCTGATTCTGGATGGTCTCTGCACCTTGAAAATAATATATTCTAGTGTTCCTTGATTCTCAGTTGGATGCCAGGGCTTTTTCTGTGAATCATGTGCAGCTTCATTTATTAAGGATATTGCATTTTCCCCGGTTTTCCTTAAAATGTAGAATGGTAAAGAACGGAGGACTCAAACTTCAGTGTTTGGAGCAAAATGTTGGTTTGCCTTAATTTGATTTACAGATACATTGTGCAAAATCTCATGGAGACGGACCTTTACAAGCTCTTAAAGACTCAGCATCTCAGCAATGACCACATCTGTTATTTCCTTTATCAGATCCTGAGAGGATTGAAATACATTCATTCAGCCAATGTGCTGCATCGTGACCTCAAGCCTTCCAACCTGCTACTAAACACTACTTGTGATCTCAGGGTTAGTGAAATAAATGCCTCTCAATCACAGAATCATGAAAAACCATGGAGTATTTATTTATTTATAAAATTTGTATGCCGCCCATTACTTTTGCCTCTGGACACCTTACAACATTAATCAGAATAAAATAAATTAACTATTCCACGCTGGCTGAAAAATCCAATAAGATACAAACAATAAAATCCAATTAATACCTATTAAAATATTGATCGAATAAAAAGGACTTGACCTGGCGCTGAAAACCATATAATGAGTGCGCCTGTCTAGGGAGCGCATTCCATGTTCGGGGCACCACCACCGAGAAGGCCCTCCTCCGGGTACTCTGTCTCCTAACATCTTTCACAGAGGGTTCCTGCAGGAGGGCTTCTGTTGATGATCTCAGGGTGGGAGGGCATATAGGGAAAAAAGGAGTTCCTTTAGCTATCCTGGTCCCAAGCCGTTTAGGGCTTTATAGGTAATAACCAGCACCTTGAATTTAGCCCGGACTTCGATGGGAAGCCAATGGAGCTGATAGAGGACTGGGGTTATATGAGAATAACGCTGAGTAGAAATAGTTTACATTATTTATGTCCAATGCAACTTATGTATTGTGTACTTTTAAAAATATGCCAGGAAAGACTCAAATAGATCATGCAAATGTGATGAGATTATGATGTTTTACAGACTCGGAGAAGATTACTAGGAAAGCAAATGCTCGCTATACCTCTTTTAAGGATTTCATTGTATTTCCTTAATACGCAAAATGCGATCTTTAAATGCGACTGCTCATTGTCAGGGAGCAGCCAATCCACAGATTGTAACACGAGCACAGTTTATATTATGGTTTGTGAATCCGAGGGAACTGTGACTGGCAGTACTGACGTGATTGAATGTGACAGCAAGGTGTCTCCCTTGTAATAGCTTTATTCTGTTTCGTGTTAGATCTGTGACTTTGGATTGGCTCGTGTTGCAGATCCCGATCATGATCACACTGGGTTCCTAACAGAATATGTAGCGACGCGTTGGTACCGAGCTCCTGAAATCATGTTGAATTCAAAGGTGAGAGCTGGGTGGTGGCTGAAATATTTGGGTGCAGCAGAATACCGTTTTGATCAAATGCAGACTCTGTTGTACTAAACAACTCTTTTGACTGGCGCACAAGAGGGAAGAGGGTGGGATAGAAATGCAGTATATGACAGTGACCACGACACTTGGCTCTCCCATTTCTCCCTTCCTCTACTCGTACACCTAGAAAATATCTCTCGACCCTAAATCTTGCAATGCAGAAATTGCTCCCTTTAGTCTAATACACAGTGTATTAAACCGAAGCAGCTTGAAGTTTTGCATTGGTGTGGAACCTAATTTGGCACAAGCACGAGTAGCTTTGAATTTGAGGAGAAATCTTTGACTGTCTCTTACTCAAAGTGATGTTGTCTAAGAAGCAGTTGCTTGCAGCTGACTTCCACCCGCTGAAGCCAGAATATGTAGCGCTGTTTCTGTTTAGCTTTGGAATGAAAAGGCAAACATGGTGGGAAATTAAAACTGTTGCACTTTTGTTATTGAAACCCTCAATGGAAAGTCCACCTAAAAGGGTGTCAGAATCAATGGCAAGAGCAGGCAGAGCCACCAGAGAGCCCTGTAACATTTTACATCATGTTCTTTCAAATGTATGCTCACTTCCTAATGCATTTTGGGAGGAATGCAAAACACATTGCAAATCCTAAAAGGTGGAGACTTTAACCACAGACGGCACTGGAATCTGTGTTTGCTCTGGAAGGTGCAAAGTAGGTAAATCCTGACCAGCAATGAACATCTTCACCTCACATATGCCCCCAAAGTTAGTCCATTTACGTAAAGCACTCGCATTTGCTCCCCAGTCTTACGCCAGCATATCACAGATCGTGAGTTCAGGTCAACTGTATGGAGCTAAATCATTTAGAGCACATCTATTTAGCAGCGCTGTATTTTTGCCTGCAATACATAAATAAGCTCTAGTGCGCTGAAGGACAGTCACGTCATATTTTTAATTATTTTAGTAACACTCCTTTAAGTATTATGTATGCAGTTTACCTGGACTGCAGCTGGTGAGCCCCGCTTTGCAGGTGTGGGTGTCAGTCGGAGTGCACCTTGCCTCCCTGTGCTCTATTTGAAGTTGGCGTCTCGTGTCTGTGTCCAAACCTTGGTCTGTTAGAATATCATGCTGGGTTTGGGGGCTTGCATATTTTTAAAAAGTCATTTGTGTGGGTGCAACATGGCAGTTGAATAGATGGTATATTAAATGTTTCTAAAGCTGAAATCCCATGCATGCTTACTTTGGAGTAGGTCCCATTAAATACAGTGGGATTGCGCAGTAGGAGTCTTTTGTAATGTTTTTGCTTCCTCTTCATTTTTCTAATGCACAATGCTTGCCTCATTGTTCAATAACAGTTATGTAAAGTTCTGATTCATCTTAAGTGCTTGAACAGGAGGGCTATGTTACTACAATTTAAGACTGTATTTTAAGATAAAGTATTTTTTATGTATAACAGTACCACAAATGTCATCAGCAACTGATTTTTCCCCACTTTCTACATCTAGGGTTATACCAAATCTATTGATATCTGGTCTGTAGGTTGCATTTTGGCAGAGATGCTATCAAACAGACCCATATTTCCAGGAAAACACTACCTTGATCAGCTGAACCATATCCTTGGTAAGGTTTTCTTAAAGGTATAGATCAACTGCTTTTGTCTACCGATTGCCCTTTCGGTCCATCCTCTCCAGTTCAGTGTATCAATGTTGGCCATCTATTTCTTTTATTTTAAATGTATGTCTGTCTTCTCCTGCTCTGTTTGAAATATTCATAGAACTCTTTCTGGCAAGCTCTGTTAAAACAGGTAGGAAATGAATTTGGACCTCATTTGATATAAACATGCTTTTTGAATCAGCTTGAGATAGATGTATCAATACCACATTCCTTCATGAGAAGTAGTAATGTCTCTAAATTGCCATCTGTAGGCATAGAAAGTCTTGAGTGTGTAATTCAGCTGAAGATGTGGTTTACAAGTTAGTGATTTCTGTGGGTGTGAGTTATGCCATAGTTTAATTTTCCCACTGAAATTAAAGAGAATCAAAACAACAGGCAAAGTCTTTATCAGCAATCCAATTATTTCACATGGTGTATATTTATCCGAATACTCCTATTCCTTTACCTTGTACCTGTTTACATAAATGTGACTTCCACTGCTAAATGGAACTTTTTGAATAAGATTTGTATGCATGTATGTCTTTATAGTTAAAGAGAGTACTCCTCATTCCAGGATACAACAGATTCAGGATAGGACAGATGCACAGAAAACAGCTATCTGTAATTTCAGGGGTAAAAATCAATATTTAAGTCCCTACCTTTGTTTCCAGAATGCTCTTCTCTTGGGGTATTTGTAATCTGATGAATCTTTCTGCTTCCATCAAATTTAGAATGTGTTTTTACTTCAGATGGTCTTTCACTAGTACTCCTGGGTTTAAATGATTGTATAAAGTAAGAGAAAAGAGTCAAATAATATAGATGATAGGAGATTTATGCTAACTCTGTGAAGGCCAAAATGCAATCTATGTGTTTATTAGATTATCCCTTCTCCCAAATCTAGTTAAGAAACAAAAACATAAGTCATATTTTCCATTTCAAAGAAAATAGAGGCAGATAGCTAGAAACACATTCATTTTGTTAAATAACTAAGATCTTGTATTAATTTTAGAGCAGGACTCTCTGACTTCCAAAAACCTTTAATCTCATCTCTGTTGCCCAAAGGGTTTGTGAAGAACATTTTGCCCTGAGGACAAGCAACTGGTTAGACTTAAAAGAAGTGAAACCCCAAAAGAGGAGAGGAAAGAGGTACAGGCCAGCCCAAATGAGCTCCCAACGCAGTGCATATCTGAGTTCAATTGATCTATTCCCATCCATCTGAACAAATGACTCAAGTATTGCCATATGTTCCCCACAGCATCCCTTTGCTTATGCCTCACATCTTTTCAGTCTGTGAGCCTGGATTGTGCGCTGGCATTTGTAGCCCTCTCTGGGAGTCCTTTGAATGAACACAGAGAGATAAATGCTCTTAATAAATGAATTAAACAAAACAGTGCCAACTTGCACAAGTCCTGCTTTAAAGTTAAAAATTTCTGTGATCTCCAAGAGCAAACATTCAACCAATGTTCAGTTGCACCCCTCTAATGACACTGCAAATGAAAAATGTCTTACTTTCCTGCAGTTTATTTTTTTTCCCCAACTTTGAAAATCTAGTTAGTAAGTTAGGGCCTAAGGGGCTGATATTAATTGCCAGAGCTCAAGGGAAAGTAGAACAGATAATAAAGAGATAAGTCCCCCTAGTCATTTTGATTGAATTTGTGGCTGCGGTGTTGTTTATTATTATTTTAATTTTCTTTGGGAACATTCACATGAATTTTCATTTTACTTTATTCATGATAAATTTTATTTTTTTTCTGAAACATCAAGGAAGAATCTGGATCAGGTTATGATACTATATTTCTGAAATTTTTCCTTCTGCTTTCAGTAGTGGCCTAAATTGTGCATAACGCTAACCCATGGTTCATTTAACTCCTGGTTTGTTACCCTACCCAGGGTTTGTCTGACAGATTATCAAGGAAACCGTGGTTCATTTCTTAATCCTTGAGTTGCTTGTTTCCATTCCCATATCCCAAATACAATTTTAGAGCTGTAGTACCAGCATGTAAAGCAGCTGGAATTCTGAGTTTGCATTTAACAACCACCAGTGGCAGAAATAATCTAGAATTCGCAAACCACGGGTTCTTTTTCTGGGTTGTTTCTGCAATGAACCATGGTTCATTTGTGCAACCATGTTCACTTGTCGTAACTACCCAGAATTCAGCGATCCATCTCTTACCATGGGTGAGCATTCTGTGTGAACCAGGCGAGTATCACTACTTCCGGGGCAGTTAACAAGCCTGTAAAAGCTGACAAGAACAATAGACACTCACATCCAGAGCTTCGGAGTTTTAAAAGGCAGTGTGTGTGTGTGGGGGGGGGGGAGTCTTTAGATACCTCCTGTGAGCATAGCCTCCCAAAGCAGAGTGACACACCTGAAAAGCCCCCCCTCCCAGAAATCCCAGCAGATGGCCCAACCACAGGGAATTGAAGAAAAGCCTCTGAAAGTTGCCTTTGTGTGTCAGCAGGTCTGTTTGGGAAAACTTCAGATAGATCTAGATTCCAAACCATAAAGGGTTTTAAAGAATCAGTCCCCGCAGTTTGAATGATACCTGGGAATGGACCGGCAGTACTGAAGTTGTTCTCGGACCTGTGAAATGTGTTTTTGCAGCCACTCTGTTAGTAACCCAGCAGCTATATCTTCAACTAACAGCAGTCTCTGATTAATTTTCAAACGAGCCACAGTGTAGAACACATTCCAGCAGCCTGTAAAGCTACCAAAGCGTGGATACTTGGCCAGGCTGGCGGTCTTAATGTTCATATATATCCAATGCATTCAGTAGTTCTTGCCTCTCCATTCTTCACTTTCCAGGGATACTTGGATCGCCTTCTCAAGAAGACTTGAACTGTATAATCAATTTGAAAGCTAGAAACTACCTGCTTTCTCTCCCCTACAAAAATAAGGTGCCTTGGAATCGGCTGTTTCCAAATGCAGATCCCAAAGGTAACGTAAAAGATTAGGTACGAATGTGATCACATGTAATGACATAAAATACGATTTTATAGCATTAATTTTATGAAATAAAATTAGTGGCCATAACATGTTCCAAGAGCTGGAATCCTGTGAATCTGGAAGCGCTCTCTCCTTTAAACCACATGATACAGAATGGAGCTTTGTGAACTAGTCCAGCATTTATGTTTCTCCTCAAATTCATGGTTGTGGGGGGGAAATAACGTAAGCAGCCTTTGTGATATGCAGCGGACACAATCCAGTGGTCCCTGAGAAGTGTCCTGGGGTTGTTCGGGATTCCCCTTCCAAGGCCATAGACGTTGACCTGGCAAGGCGGGACGGGCAGGGGCAGCTCTAAGGTGCTCGCTTACGCCTGGCTGCTTCCCCAGGTGGCTGCAGGATGAAGGGAAAGGGGGCATTTCAGGGCAAGTGCGGAGACCGAGATGGGAGAACTCTATGGCTGCTTCAGCTCCCCGCAGTGTTCCGTCTCTCGAGAACAGTTTATCCAGAGGCCACCTAAAGAAAAAATGCAAAAGGAGGACAGAGTGGGAAAAAGCCCCTTGGGGGGGGGGGAGGGGGGGGGGGGGGGGGGGCGTGATATCTGGAAGCCTGTGAAATCAGAGGGTGGATTCTACAAGGAATGTAACACATGGCATTAGCCTCTCAGTATAACTAAAAATCCAGATGCTTTAACTGTGCAGATAATCCTTTGTCATTCCTTTTTCTTGGGCTGGTAAGGTAGATTTAGCCACAATAACAGAGCATTTACTTGACGGTTCCTTTATTTATTTATTTATTTATTTATTTATTTATTTATTTAGCACACTTATATGCCGCCCCCCATTCGCCGGAGCCTCGGGGTGGCTTACAACATAAAAAGTACATATCATAGTACAATTATATAAAATCGGAGACATCCTGGCCAAAATCGTTAAAATCAATAAATAAAGTCAGCAATTAAAATGACATTTAAATAAAAAGGTCTTGGCCTGGCGCCGAAAAGCAAATAACGATGGTGCCAGGCGGACCTCTCTGGGGAGCGCATTCCATAGGTTGGGCGCCACTGCAGAGAAAGCCCTCCTCCGGTACATTATGGGGCTAATGTCTGTCTTAGTATAGGGGAAAGAAAGAATTGGAATTCTTTTGGTTTTTATCCCTTTTCCAGAATCTAAATATTTTGAGGGACACAAATATAAAGCAAAACAAAACTTTTTGTGTAATTAGCTATGGGTAATAATTTATGTTAGCAGCTTGTATTGATGTTTCTTCATTATTTTGGTCCCTGTAGCAGCTTAAGCAAGTATTATCCTTCACTAGCAAATCTGACTTTTTCTCAGCATTTGTACAAAAACCAGAGATGGACCCCTTGGTCCATGTTATAAAAGCTGGCATGCAGACGATGGTCCATGGTTGATTGTGTCTTAGTTCTTCAAGACATAATTGAAAACTTTTAAGCCAGTTAACAGATGTGATAAGGAAAACACTGTTCGATGCTTTTAAGTGTGCTTTGAAAATTGTGGTGTGATTTATTGTTATAGATGGAAAATTAAAGAACAGCCTGTATTTTATTTGAATTCATTTACGAAATGACTGCATCAGGGATTTGTAATGATTTGTGAGGCAGTGGAAAGCACCGTGATGGATTGAAAACCTCCCATTTACTGCATGCAAATTCACCTCCTCACTTATACACACTCCCCCTCCTTCACATAAAGACACAAATTCAGTTGTAGCTGCTTTTTGCAACTTCAGGCTGTGAGAAGCAGTGGCACTGTGAAGGGCGGAGCCACGGGAGCCCTTCTTGGGTGCCTTGCATGCCAAATACGGAACATGCTTCTCCCAGCCGGCCTTTAATTTGTGGGGGATGGAAGGCTAAGGGGAAACACCAGTCTGATTTCAGCATGGAAGTACGGTCTAGGCATTCCACGTGTGTGCATGTTTGACAGAGGCAGAGCAGGGATAGAGTACTTTTGCCCTTCTGCTTAACACTTATACATGGACATATACAGAAAATATAGGTGCGCACACAAATACTGTAGAGGCTGGGGCACAGGGAGGGAGGGACACCGTAAATATATGGACGAGTGCAGAGAGAGAGACTGAGGAAACGTCAGGAAAGGTCAAAAGAGAAAGGCTGGTAAGCTTTGCAAGCTAAACAGCATTGTATGATTTCCTGGCAATTGGCCGAGTCCTAAAGCCAACCCAAAGTCTCAAAACGTTCAACCAGTGATGCCTAGTCACCAATTCAGGAGGTTAGAAAGCATTTCCTCCAGCACACAATGTTTTATATCGGCACAGATCTCTGCTATAGGTGATAACCTGTCATCCACTCTATAAACTCTTCTGAATTAGGGTGCAAATGACGTATCGCTCGGATAAGCTTTATTCAGGACCACTTGCTAGACCAAGCACAGAAGAGGAGCATGACTGCAGTAAAATGGTGGCCAGGCAAGGCGAACTAATTCTAGAATCTTCTTTGTAGCTCTTGATCTGTTGGACAAAATGTTGACCTTCAACCCGCACAAGAGAATCGAAGTGGAAGAAGCACTGGCCCATCCCTATCTAGAGCAGTATTACGATCCGAGTGATGAGGTAAGGAGGACTATGCACTGGATCATTTTGAGCTCCGGGGAGGCTAACGAGTAATTAATTACTGGTCCAGAGAGCAAAGTTGTGGGTCGTGTGACTGCCAGGTCGGCTTTCAAATTAGGTGCATTTGAGGGCAGCACCACCTTTGATGTGGGAAACCATTGGTGCATTGCCTAGGCCAGTGTTACACGATTGTTTCCTCTCTAGCCCAATCGGGTCTCCCAGATATATGGACACAGTTGTTTAAAGATGTGCATAGGTTTGTTCTCATTTAGGCTGCCATCTTAAGCACTCTTACATGGCAATATCGAACAGTAGAGTTGGGAGGGGGCCAGAGGATCCAACCCCACCATGCGCTGAACTCATTGGGACTTATTTTTAAGGAGACATGTATAGGATTGTGCTCTTAACACAATCTGTTAAACTTTTCACTTATACTCCAGCTTATAGAATTGGCTGTTTTCAGTTATAATCAGATACAGTTCAGACCTTCCCAGGGCAGGCTATTGAATGAGATGCTTGGGGTGGCAAAAACGTTAATGGGAACAAAACAGTGGTTTTTAGAGTTTAACCCAGTTATATTTCACTCTATAAAAAATCATGGCATGTAGCCATGTGTTTATAAATTATGCTAAATTATGCTTTTTAATCATGCTGAATTATTCTAATATGCTAATGTTGACATTCCGCTCCTGCACAGCATTATATATATACACACAGAGGGTTCCAAAAATGTATACACATTTTAAGAAAGGAAAAAATGTATTAAAAACTTTTGCATGCTGGTGCTAGTATCCCTGTGATTAACGCCATCTTTTAAGCAAATGTCATACTACACATTGCCACCGTAATTCAGTGCAATGTCGGAAAGAAATACATAGATAACGTCTCATAAAACGTGTAAACAATTTTTGCCCCCCCCCACCACCCAGCTACCTAATCTGTGTCCTTTCACTCAGGAGTCCCCCCAAACCAGGATGGCTGTCTGGGCCCACAATTCTGCGAGCAAACACCCAAACATGTTTCCACAAGGGCAAGACATACCCAGCTTTGCTTGCTGGCTGGGGCATGCTTCTTTCTGAACTCAACTAAGATTGAGATCGAAGTGTATTTTTAGAGAACTTGAGTGGCCATTTCTGCAGTGTTCAGAAGTACGTTCTATAGTAAATTATTTTTGTAACCGTGATCAATTGCATCTTTGCAACATAATATAGTCCTACTGTACAAAGAAAACCATAGCTGATTTGTTTCACTTGATTGATCTTTGATGGCCCACCCCTTCCATTCATGGGTTGAAAGAACGCATGGAGCAGACTTGTAAAGAGGGCTACGTAGTCTTAATGCAAATGATTTAATCCTTCATTTTTCTCTTTTTAAGCCGGTTGCAGAAGCACCATTCAAATTCGACATGGAACTGGATGACTTGCCAAAGGAAACACTGAAAGAGCTGATTTTTGATGAAACTGCCAGGTTTCAGCCAGGATACAGATTCTAAATGGCACACGGGTACATTAAATCTCACAATCCAAGTATTTATAATGCAGGAAAGAGAATAATAGATACAGCATGCTTACCATTCCTTTAAATTAATACATTGTTAAGTATTGGAATGCTGGATTTTTCTCAATAATTGTGGTTTTCAAGTTACCAAACCCTTTCTGAAGGCAGCTGCTGCATGAAGTTTTGTTGCATGGTTTTGCAACAAACCTTGAACAAGTGCAATAGTTCCACCTGACTAAAGATTATTCAGGACATGGCTTAATGAGTAGCATAAAAGGTTTGTGTTTAAGCAAATGTGTTCGTATTTTCAGATAGGGAAAAATAAACTGGATATATAATAGCTTCTGTTAGTTTTCCTAAAATGCCTCTTACCTGATTAAAACTACAAAAGTGAATGTGCACAAATAAAATTTGTGGTTGGTTAGAGAGTAAAGTACTTAAAAACTTAGACACAAGTAAAATCCCTGTTCATCCAGCAGCAAAATACTGCACCCGTAATTTATCTCTGATTAAGCGGCTGCAGTCTAGTTTTAATGACCTCAGCTAGAAATTTGGATATAGCCAGTGTGACCACAGGATTAACATCTCAGACTAGAAATGTAAAGCTTATCAGTATTCCTCAGTGTAGGGTAAAGTAATTTAAGATAAAAACGGGCTCCCAGTACGGTATGGCAAAACATGGGTTGCTGCTTCACCTTGGCCGCTTTCACAAGGGCAAAATCTTCGTTGTTCAGAAAGACGCCAAGTATGCTTTTCCATCACGGATGGTAAGATGTTTAATTTACCCAGTGTAAATGTTCTCCTATATTTGGAAATCATTAAAGAGGTGAAGTAGTCGGCAGATTGGTAGACTTTGCCTGGATATAAGCCAAGAGGCACATTTGAACAGCCCACCCCCTTTCACTGTTATCTGTCGGTTTTGCAGATTTAGATGCAGCACCATCTGTTGATACTTCCAATTCCTTTATCCAATTCAAATGTAAAAGATAAAGCGAGAAGTACCTGATGGATTTTACTTGGATATTAACAGACCTTAACCACATCCCACCATAATCATCAGTCTAGATAAATGTATATGGAACCAAAGGTTGACAGCTGTCAAAACTCTGGCTTCCTTTGAAAACAGTTTGACAAGGCTAATCAGGATTTTTTGACAGACATATGTAGCCATGAGATCTGCATATGTCCCTGTCAGGGTGACCTGATGCCCACAAACAAGCCACCCTGTGGGAAGCACTACAGGGTCTCGCTGCTTGGTAACCGCCGTAGCTAGTGACCTACAGAGGGTTACCCTGTCATGCAAATCCAGTCAGTATTCTAAGTTATGCCAATAAGCCTCTCCATTATTTTTAGAGCTTAGGGAGGGGAATATGCGTGTTCGTTAAAATCTGTTAATTGTGAGTAAGCCACCTAGTGGAAGAAGTATTCCCTTGGTCATTTAAAGTTGAGAAAATGAAGCAGGCCGAGTCCTGCACTGAATCTGCCTTTCTTTCCCATTTCTGCAGTTCGTGAAATCATGCTTTGATAATCACCTGATTCAATATTGTCCTTTGCATGTGTTTCTTGGAATAGTAGACTAAAATATGGCTTAATATATTTTTAAAAAATCATTATCCCCTCTTTAGTTGGCTCATCCATCAGTATTTCATAAGAGAATTTTGAGTGCAGATTCTTTCCAAGGTGTTGCTTGTTCATTCGGAATCTTGAAAGCATCTAGTTTTCCTGTTGTGTCTTCCTAGACTCAGCCGTTTCCTTGTGCTTCATGCTCTGATCAATAAACTTTATTAATTCTTTGTCTCTGGGGTTTTCCCACCTCAGATGATTCCCACATATGCCTTTTTCACCATGCCTGAAGAGACATTGGTACTGTATTAGTTGAGGCATAAATACAGTCCTTCTGAGGTGAGTTAGGATGGATCTCAGTTCTGGGGTAGTATTGTTTAATTTTGTGGGCTGGCCAGGTGGTACATTGGATCCTGTCTTTCCCACAAAGTCAGTCCTGTCAGGCCCTGTAATATTCTTTTACTCCCTGAAGGTTTCCCAGTCTTGGTACCATACCTCTTTGTTCAAAAGTGGCTTGGATTCCATACAGGAAAAAAAAAACCTGGGATAATATAAGTTAAAAAGAGGGCGGGAATCATGTAAAGCTCTCAGACAAATTCTATATTTAGCTTCAGTATTACTTCCGAATTTCCTTCGTAATAAGGGTCTACCATTAATTCTGCATAGGAAGGTTAGTAATCACTTGATCTTTGGGTCAGTCAAGAAACTAAAGACTTTTTAGCAGGAGCAAGCAAACCGTTGCACTTAAGCACAGCGGTGTAGCCCCCACAATGGACAGGCCTGGCTGCGGTCCTTTGTGTGTGTACGTGGGAGTCCGTGCAGTGTAACTGCCCTCTGAGCAGACATGCATGGGCTCTGATGCTCTGCGTGGTTTACCTTAGTGAGGCACGGAGGAAGCGACGTGGGCCTGAACCAAAGTGGCGATCATTAGTGCCGGATGGTTTGAGGTCCCTGGGGGAGCTGTCCTTTCCCAAGGCATAACCATGCAACATCTCGGAGTTCTGGCAATCTCTAATGTGGGGTGATCTCTTGGTAGAAATATTTTTCCCGTGTGGCGGAATTCCCTCTAGATTTAAGGAACACTGAACAACGTTCAACCAAAACAGTAGCATATTCTGAGGACAGCAGAGCAAGAAATAAGCATCCTCAGCCTTCACCCAGATGTTTGTAAATGGAACCCTTCATCTTTAATCTGCATTTTCCATTTTAAGAACCTTTCTTAATGGTCTGCACCAAGAGTGAGCAGAAAATAGATTAGGATGTACTGATAGCTCTTCTAGTGATTTTCAGCAGGATAGCGAACCTCATTGAAAATAATGACGACAAAACCCCTTTGTGTGAAATTGGGCAAAAAAGGCTCGTAGGGGCATCAGAAACATTGCCACTGTGTAAAAGCATTTGTATGTAAGCTCCAGCTCTGATACTGGAAACACATTCCTGAGCTAAACTTGTGCTTAGATAAAGAAATCCAGGCCCACCTTCCGGAACCACTGCCTTGCAGCAGGCCCTCGTTTTGCATCCGGTGGACCTCAGGGTTCTAACGAAGAAGAAAGCAGTCCTGCAAGTGTCAGGACTGTCCAGCCCGGCGTATCTTGCACCCATGTTAGTCCAGTGTTTCTCTGGTTCCATCTGCCCATAGACCATAACCCAGTCTCTGTGGTAACTGTTTGATGCCACTTGGGATGGTCAAAGCATGCTGCTCTTTGATGAGTTACTTGCCTTTCTCCTTCTACAGATATCGAAGTCCTTTCAGTTTGTTGAAGCAAATGCACAAATTATACCAGTCTATAAAGAAGTTTGTACTGCTGCCATTTTAGTACTGTAATTTGTGTCCTGTCATTTCCAACCTCAAGTACACACACACTTGTTTTTTGTTAATGAATTTTCACTCAGTCCTCATTAACATTCATTTTCTCTTCCTCCCACCCTCCCTCCCTCCCTCTCCCTCTCCCTCTCCCTCTCCCTCTCTCTCTCTCTCTAGGAGAAAGGAGCTAAAGGGCTGGGCATTCGCCACACAGATGCTCTCTTCCTGATTCCTGATGTATTGCCATGCCTCTGGCCTTTTTCAGCCTCTCCACTCACCACTTCAAGCCATTCAGGAAGGCCATTTCTGGTAGTCCTGGCTTTATGCTCTCAACAGAATTTTTCTTTATGCCTGAAAAAAAAAAGCTGATATTTCTGTGTGTAATATTCATTACTGGTCCTCTTGCGGTATTCTATTTCCATACACCTCCTGCTGATAATATGTTTAAACTGCTTCCTTTTCTGATTGGAAAGATACAGTGCTTTGTTGCTGATTTTAATCAAGGCAATGGCAAACAAAGATGTTTGCACCACGAACCATTTTATTTTCTAGGTTTTGTTCCTGACTTTTTTTTTTAAAGGAAAAGCTACAATTTAGGGCACTTTAAGTCAGTGGCATTCTCCGTACTTTTGCACTTCTTTAAGCATGCAACGGTTTGCTAACATGCACAATGCAAATTGACAGTATAAATCGTGTTTCTGTACTTGTTCTAATTTCCTGTTCTATACATATAAATTAATACAGAGCATTCACTAACATATCTAGAAGTCTTGCTTTTAACCAGACTAAAAAAACACACATTCTCTCACTCTGTCAAGAGGTTATAGGTACTTGTGCAATTTTGAATCTTCATGGTACTCTTAACGCTTCTATCGTCATTGTTGCAAGATATGTAATACAATCCTAAGCATGTTTACTAAGCATGTGAATCCCATTAAGTTCAATGGGGTTTGCTAAGGGGGTGTATTCAGGATTAGCCTTATACAAAGCAGTGGCTCAGTAACTTCCAGGGTAGTGAGAGAATAATTTAGAACAAAATCCTATTTTATTGTCCTGCATGATCTGCATTAGTAAACGTACTCATGTGAATATTGCAAATGATCTCTCCCTATTGAATATGAAGGAAACAGCTCTGCTAAGTTTCCAGCCTTTGGATTTCACACTGGGGGCCATGCCGCAGGAATACTGAGCGACTTAAAAGAGAAACTTGGAAATACTTCGGCTCCTGTAGCATGTCAGGATCTTCAGTTGGTCTCTTGTACTTGCCTTGTGACAATGCACTCTCAAATCAAATGATCAGCATTACCGATAATGCTACCTTTGGGCCGCCAAACACTACATCGTTTTCCACCGGTTCCTGCTTTTTTTACGATAGCTCTTCAAGTATTTGTTTCTGAAATCGTATAATGTGGAGTTTACTAGGTGTTCTGTTCAGTGCAGTGCCTCCTATACTTTTTCCCACTGCTCCGTGGTGAGAAATTTGCCTTGTTCGAGATAATTACTGTGCCCTCGCATGACTGTTAAAAGCTTTCTGTGCAAAGATGATTGTCTAAGTGCCACATGCCTACGATTGAAAACGTTACCTCTGAATTGTGTTAAAAGAAATTCTATCCAACTAATGACTTTTTGAAAGAAAAAATAGCTTTGTTTTAGCTGTTCGTTTTTCTGCCGTGTTGTATTTTGGCAGCAGCGAAGAATAGATTGTATAAAGACTGCTTACTAATACGAACCAAAACGCACTTGTAATTAATCAGAATAAATTTTAATCTTGTTTTATTACATTCAACTTCCAAATAACTTTATTTGCTATTTGAAGCATGTAGATGGGGATCTGGCTTCTTAGTAATAAGGATGCTTGCTGGTGGATAGCTCTGATTCTATTTTCAATATAATTTAGGAAGTCATTGGCCTAGACTCTTGGTAACTCTGCTATTATGCGTATTTACTAAGCTCAGTAGGACTTCACACCTTGTTAGTCATAGCTAGTGTCCTTTTGGCTTTGATCCAACACAATCCTAAATGTTTTTACTTATAAGTCCCATTAAATTTGGCGAGACTTATTACTTATTAAAATTAAGACTGCAGCGTAGTCACTTTACCTGGATTGAGAGCCCATTACAGGGGTACGTAATAGTCACAAAATGGTTAGATTCCTTAACAAGTGTTTTATGAACTAGCTGGTAAAAGCTAACTTCTGATACCCAGATATTTGTCTCCAAAGGGCATTTTCTATTAACTCTTGTGGTCCATAGTACTACTTGTGTGTAAAGCACATGTTGTGAACATTGTTGGGGACTCTCCAAAGCTGACTCTTGGCAGGTGTCAACTCTAATTCTTCTCTTGACTGTTTGTAGTTGTGTGGAAACGTTCCTCTGCCTTTCTACCTATAACTTACCAAAATGCCTACTCCTAGCTGATCTGAACTATAGCCCAAGGCTCCGCCTTTGTGATTATGACTAGCTTTGAGTTAGGACTGTTATTAAAAAAAAATAGCAAAATAACACCACAGGTTTGAGTAAGAACTTCTGACAGCCTTTCATTTTGACTTCTTGCATTTATTTCGGAGAGCTAATTGTTTGCTAATTGTATAAACTTTACCTTTGATTTGCAATCCTACAAAAAGAAGTAATGGGCACACTTTACTAATATCTAGTGCTTTGAAGCATAATTTCTGTCTATTTCAAAACAGATTGGTGTAAAACCACTAAGTGTCGTTAGTCACCAAACGTTGGGACTGTATTTCCACTTACCGCAGGATTTCTGACAGAATGGAAAACCTTCCAAAAATTGATTTTAACCCTGTGTACAATCCTATGTAAGTTTGTTGGACTTTTTTCTTTCTAAACATATATAGGGTTGCATCCTTCACGGTTTTCCCCCTCACCCTCTCGGTCTAATTCTGCATAGCTATTTTTGAAATTCCTATACAGTGATGTAGAATCTGGGCTCAGTGTGCCATGTACCAGTGGTACATAATTATATTGACGCTTTTGCAGAGATACTTGGTACAAGGGGTTAATATGGGACTCATGTGAGCTGGAGGGAACATGTGCACAGTCGCTGGTTACTGTAGAAAACCCTTTTGGGTGACTTCATATTCAGTTTTGAGTCTATGCATATTGATCAGGCAATATACAAAATCCCTGACTCCTTTGTGCCCATTCTCCACAATCGCTTTAGCCTCAAGCTGTCAGACATTCCAGACTTTAAGCAACAAGACCCTGCGGTTCATACTCTGTTTCCTGGCTAGGCTTGACTGAGTTTTGTTTCCGAGGGCTGATCAGTTGTGTTTTTTCTTACTGTAGCCATATATGTGTGCCCTATACAGAAAGCCTTCTAAAGCAGGCTTCCAAGAGATAATTAAACTAGCGCACAGGTTAGAGTTGACAGCTGGGAAAGGACTTTGGTAACTGAAGGCCAACTTCTTTGTTTCCACTGCAAAATGCTCAACTGCAAAACTGCCTTATGCAGTCGGGCTCATCGGTCTCATTGCAGGCCCCTGACTGCTAGTTGAGAGCCTTCAAAACTGGAGGTGCTAGTACTGAACCAAGACCCTGTTTAGCATGCGAAGCGTATGCCCCACCCATGAGTTGCCAGTGTCTTCCCGTGCCTTGAAGATGGCACGCTTATCATGCTTTGGCCAAGAAACCATAGCGGGAATTTAAAACTCCTACTAATACATTGGTTCCTGTAAGTCGACTGTATAATCCATTGAGTAATAAATCAAGTTTAAAATAGCTCAGATAAGGCGCACATAGACATTTTTAGTCCTTTACATAATACTTCTATATTTATAAAGCAATCTATTGAAGCAATCCCGAGTTTAAGGGAGAGTATTTTTCTAAGTGTAGCAGTGTGAGTCCAAGAAAATCCCTTTAAAGTTTGAGTTTGAGATCCATTTGTGCTCTGACCAGATGACTTGTCTGAAGTACGACACGAAAGCCATGCCAAGTGCAGCCCACCCTTGCAGCGTGATTAAGCCTGTGCTGCGATCAGAACTGCAGTGGAGGCCGCTCACCAAGAGGCTAACCGTGTGCTCTCGGCACAAAAGCAGCAGCAGGTTTCCTTGCTAGAGTTGCCTTCCCTGCGGTGTTTCGGTGTAGAGCACTCCTGCAGAAAGATGTCTGCTTTTGTATTTGCTTTGTCCTGTTGGTGCCTTAGTCATGTCCCCCAAACATCCTGCAAAGCTCCTTTTAGTTCATGGTAAGTCTAAGACCTGAAACAGAGTTTTATAAAGGTTTTCTCTCTGTTAGATTATAGCAACTAAACATGTATATTGTGTGACAGACTGGTGATTTGGTTATTATGTATAGAATGATTGTAAAGTAGAAAAAAGTATATTTCGTCTGAATTCTGTGGATGTAAACGTACATATTTTTTTAAAGAAGTTGATGTCTTGTTAGTACGTGCCATCTGATTCTGGTAAAAACAAATGTGAAGAAATCATTAAATTGTGATCTTGGATTACCAAAAAACCAAGTATTCTTGTGAACATAGAATGCCAGGGAAAAATTTGTTTTATGCACGCATTTTGGGATATCCATGTGGGGATTCAATGCACCAGTTAAAATGTAGTATTGGATTTTTCTCTAAACCATGGAAGTGCAGTATTTTACTAGATGTAATACTGAGACAAAATCATTTGTTGTTTTTGCTTTGAAAGATACAGATGATGTGAATGTATTTCTCCTTTGTGTCATTCTTGTCCACAACTCCACTCCATTTTAGCCCTTCTGCCAGCACAGCAGGTGCACCCATGAAGAGTTCCACTGGTGTCACACTCGTGGTGGTGTACTTGTGTGGAAGAGACAACATTTCTCCCAACTCCTGTAGCCACACAGTTACAATTCATAGGATTGTTGTGCTGGTGGATTTATGATTCACTGCTTGGTTCAGAGGTTATGGATAAACTAGTCCTAGACTCTGCCCCGGGCTCATTCAAATCATTTGCTAAGCTCATACTAAAAATGGAAGCTTTCAGCCTCTTCTACTTGTGCACAGAAAAACACGAGAGCTTCAGGACTCTTTTAGCTTTTAAAAAGATAATTGCCTGCATTGGTACCAGAGGAACCGGCAGAAATGAAGCAGGCAGGAGAAATAATCATCGCTGTGCAGATCTATTTTTAAGCTGCTCGTGTTGCTTCTTCGGTTGGTTGTCACCAGCATGAAAATCGTGCAGATGGAGAGAGGGGAGGGTGCACCCGCAAAGCCCTGTGCACTTGCAAGGGTACAGTTGCTGCTCCCTCCCTCTTAATGGCCTTTAAGGCAGCCAGCTGTGTGTCTTGCCATACTTCTCTCAGCTGGTGGAGGTCCCACAGGGTGTCGTTGGGGTGGCCTGGGGAGCTGCATCTATCCCCCGAACAGCTTGGCCACGGTCCTCTGAAGAGAGGGGAACATGGAGGGGCTTGGAGGAGCGGTGTAGGAAAATGTAGAACGCCAGGGATGAATGGAGGGAGGCGGCAGCAGGAATGGATTTGGGGGGCTGCCAGGGTTGGGGTGCCGAGGGTGGGGCAGAGAGCGGAACGGAGAGAGCGCCACCTGCAACATTTTTTTGTGCAGTCTACTTGTGGAGCAGCCTAAAAGGGCAAGCGCCAGTGAAATACAGCAGCGGCATCTCAGCCGGTGTCTTGAAAGTGTTGCTTTGCAACCCTTCCCCAGAGCCTGTGGCAGCATGTTAAGACAAGCCCCTTAAGATAAACCGCTCAGCTGCCCTTTAGGGTCTGTGCAAGGCCCAAGTGGATGGGAGAGGAAGCGATCGGGCAGCAGGTCTCGGAGGAAGTTGCCCGGCACTGTGTCCAACCTTGGTCCCACTGGACGAGGCTTGCCCACACCGGCAGCTGTTCCCCAGGATTTCAGGCAAGACCTCGCAGCCATCCTTGGAGATGCCAGGTGCTGAACCTGGCATGGTCTACCCCTGAGCCATCGCCCTTCACTCCTAACACGTCTATCTTCTCGCTTTCAGGCAAGGACAGGCAAGTTCTCGCCCCAAGGGTGCTATCTGGCAGTGAGTAGAAGGTTTGCAGACACATATTTCCTCTTCCTCCTGTGAGTTCACCCACAACTGCCTCCCCACACCCCAAAAGATCTCAGTGCACCGGGAGGGGTGGTTGAAGCCTTTCAGCGTGAGATAACTCCTTTCGAATGCCAGTCAACTGGGCACTGCACCAGGATAGAGGCAAAGGGTGTAATTTCAATTGATGAGATGTGAGGGAGGGGCTGCAGTGCAGTGAAGGAGAATGGTAGTTTTAGATCTAGGATTTCTTGAACTCTAGCAGGTGGGAGGGGATTTTAGGCTCCCCAGAGAAGGCACACCACGAACATTTCTCCCCTCCTTGCTATTCCAGGCACCGCAACTGGTTCCACATGCCTGATGTTAAAGCAAAATTCCAGTTGAATAAGGAAAATGCTGTGAACACTTGCAATTTTAAATTTTGAATTCAAATCATAGCACTAACCAGAACACTGGAGGAAAAAGGAGTCGTCATCTGCTGCCTTCAGGATATAGAGATTTACATGGAAGTAAGGAATTTATTATAGAGGGATAATGTGTGTTCAGTGGTAAAATACTATCAGAGGAGCATCTGAAACCATGTACCTGCTCAAATTGGCTGCCTGCTAATCCAAGAAGTTAATCCATCAGATGAACACAAATAACCTCAAAGAGACCAAAAGTGAGTTCTTCCTAAATTTTATTCAGGATAAAAAAAATTCTCTATCCTCGTGGTACCCTGGATAGTAATCACTTAAGCAGAACAATCCCAGAGTTTCAGTAGAGCTTTTAGCCTAGTAAAAAACATGTTTAATGGTGGGAAGGTGAATCTTGGATGGGCTCATTCTGCAAACTGGCCCATAGACTGATTCCTCAAGGCCAAGGGCATGAACTGAAGTGGATCTTGGCTTTGCCAAGCCCTTAGACTCCTGGGAAAATCCCTTCCGTCCATGTAAGCTTTTAATAGGATTTTGTCCCACTGAGGGCAAGATAGCTGACCATAGTGTGTGCAGATACCCACGCCAGGCCTCTGGACTAGACTAGCTCATCTTTTCTCACTACATACTTTAGCCTCTCTCTGCTCTGGGGGAGCAGAAGTTCCACACTCCTCCTCGCATGGAGGAAGGCTTTAGCTGGCGTTGGGGGGAGAAACCCTTCCTCCCCATGCCAACCAAGTGCTCAGTCTCTTTGCAGACACCTCCACTGCAGGGATTCCTCTAAGAAGACCAGCCACTGAAGGATTGAGAGGAGATCGCAGAATACAGTGGCGAGCGCGGTGGGCCAGACTCAGGGTTTGCTTTCCCCTAGACTCACAGAAATCAGCATTGACCGTATTTTTATCTGCGCTTGTGAAGAGTTTGAGGCAGACTGTTTTTGGTGGTTCAGTTAACATCATTGTGTCTCTCTTGCCTTCCTTCTTACACAGCACCCCATGGCAGCTTACAAGATTCTCCTCTTTGTCTTATCCTCACAACAATCCTGAGAGTTAAAGGAGGGTGAGGCTCAGCGGCTGGCCCCAGGTCACCCAGGGAGCAAGGAGGAGAACCCAAATCTTCCCCCAGTCCCTCTTCGATCGCTGCAGTGTGCTGGATCTTGGTTTAACACTTTGGTTGTTAACCCCCTTTAAAAAAGGCAGGATACGAATTAGGAATACCTGCTTCCCCTGTGCCGTTCACCCGCCTACATTGCAACTCGCCTTCCCTCAAAGCTGTTGTTGGACCCGAAGCAGAAATCAGACCAGCCCCGTGTCTGAATCTCCCTGCCCAGAGAATGATTTAGATCTGGAAAACTGCATAAAAGGAGGGAGGGGAGCAAACGAAAGACCTCCCGAGCTGCTTTTAAATGAGGAAGATTCCAGCTGTGTGGATTGCATGCATACCAATTACTTTTTAGAAAATCTGCGGATTTTTTTTCCCAAAGGGAGAGCAAAAAAGGAGGTCAGGGCCAGAAAAGGAACCGTAGCAGAGTGATGTCAGTGGCTTCTGCTTACAGGTGCTATATTTCGCTATTTAGACTGCCCCTAACACCAGATTCTCGTTTCCCTCCCTGCTGTAAATGAGACGCTTTCTTTTTGCTGTAGCAGCTTTGGGAATAGGCGAAGCTGTGACATCTAAATAAGGAGACTGTGTGTTCTCCTGTCCTTTTCAGAAACGGGTTCCAGTTGTGTGAAAGCCCGCTTCAGTAAACAAGGAGCTATAATTACAGCATCTCCTCAGAAGAACCCACATGCTGTGCGCTAGCACAGGGGGGAAAGGACGATTTGGGAGGCTCGTGTCATCTCTGTGTCTCTGAGCATTTCAGCTGCTGCAAGTCAATGTGGTGCCGAGGATCTCCGACCTTTTGTTACATGTAGAACAGCCGAGGCAACGTGACCTGCACTTCCCCCTTCTGAAAAGCAGCCCTCTCTTCGCAAGGCTGGCTGAGCAAACCTTTCAGTTAGAGATGGGTGGGCAGTCACGAGCAGCAGATCACAGCTGGCCCAGGACACCACACCTGAGGGAAGCGGACTAGGTTATGTGTCCTCAGGAAGACCATGCTGTACGAGGCACACACCTCTCTCCTATACGCAACACCTGCTGCTGCTTCTCAGCATCTGCCCCTGAGGCACTTTGACTAATCGTAGGAACAGCCTTGTATAGGAGCTGTGGAGGGAGAGGTACCGAGAAGACATCCAGGGTGCTAAAGCTGCACCAATAACCACCAGGAAAATTGGTCGAGTTCTCCCAGCTTATGAGTCTTTTCCAGACTTTATTTAGAATCTTTGCTCCCGAATCACGAGGCCAGAAGCTTCATTTCCCAGGAGCGAGCGTGGAGGGTTAGAGGCCTCCCATAAAAGTGAAAGGATTCCTTTGCATATTTTATTCTGAGGAAAGTTAAGGGGCTGCAAATGGGGCATTGAGAGGGGGTCAAAACCTGTCCTGGGGGTCACTGGGGTGCCTTGCTTTCTCTGTACTGGTTGCACCGACACGGACAATGAGGATCAGGGAACCCATTGCCTTTTGGAGCCACAGGTTCAAAATCTCATCAGCACTGGCCAGCATGGCCCACAGGGAATAACGCCTTATGGCGGAAGTGCCAAAACCTTTGGCCCAGGGACTGCATCTGGCCCTCGGGGGGTCTCAGTCTGGCCTCTGCATTTCCCCAGAAAATTATGCCCCTTTCCCCACAACCAGCTCCCCTTTGGTGGTTCCCAGCTGCCGTGAAGGTTTTGTTTCCGCCACTCTAAAGGTTGAAATGCATCTCCTAAGCCTGCAGTTTGGCATAGGCTGATATTTGGGGTAATCTTAGCTTTGCCTCCACAGAATTGGGCACTCCACCCACAAGGGGTTCTTCATTCCATTCGGAGAAAGAGAAGGGCTCCTGGCCGTGTTCCATATGGCCGCGTTTGAGCCAGGTTGCCTGTGACGGCTGCGTCGGCAGTAACATTTCGGGCCATGCATCTGAGTGGGCGTTTCTTTTTCTATTTTTGGCAAACAATAGTGCTGTTGCGGTTGTTACAGAGTATTTTGTGTCACTGCCTAATGCAGGCAGCCAAAGCACACTAACCCTTAGTAGGGACACATTTCTATTATTAGAACACAAGCAGCTTAAAAAAAAAAGCTCTGTCGTGAGGGGTCTCTCCAGAGAGAATGATATAGAAAATTTGTCCCTGTGGCGGCATGTTACCTTTCCAGTCTGTCATCTGCAGCAGGGA